AGCTTCCAGCCATGCATCGATGATGAATCAGATAGTTATGGACTGTCGGCTGAGATGCTTGTTGCAATCGCCAGCGTCAGGAGGTGGCAGAGAACAACATGGAGCAGGCATGTAATCAGTTGCACTGCTGCTGCGTTATCATCAGAAACTAACGAAACAAAAAGCATACGAGGAGATCTAAACCAACTTGGCAACCAGATTTTAGACCACTTTATAGCTGAAACTATTGAATCCGTCTCTGAATCTGAATCTGCTTCCGTCTCGGTTTCTGTTGATGATCCTGGGCAATCGAGCAAATCTGATAAGAACCAACACAATACCAGATCTTCATCTGACAAAGTTAAAACTCCTACTAAGCCCAAACAGTTGAAAGGAAAGTCGGCCAAGAAGGCCAAAGGTCAAAGTTCTTAATGTCTCTCCCTAAATTTGCTAGTTGGAATGTTCGGGGTTTTAATAACCCGGAAAAAGTGAGTTTTTGCAAGTCTTTGATTAGTTCTCATGATCTTAAATTGTTATGTGTTTTGGAAGCCAAGATTTCTCCTTCCTCTGCTGCGGATCCTTGGTTTTTACGTTCTCATCGCCTCTTTGAGAATGAAGGCAATTATCATAATTTTGGGGACTCTACGTTGGGTAGGATTTGGATTAAGTGGGATAGCTCGGTTTTCTCCTTTAATCCAATTTCCACCTCATCCCAATTCATTCATGGGATTCTTTCGGTGGGATCTTTCCCACCTATCTTCCTCTCAGTGATTTATGCCTCCAATGCTGTGGAGGACTGGAAACATCTCTGGGAGTCTCTTACTTCCTCATCTCCCCCTCTTGACCAACCGTGGGTCATAATGGGAGACTTTAACTGTTACAGATATGAAACTGAGAAAGCTGGGGGCACTATGTCTTCCAATGGCAGATTGGGAGAACTTAATAGCATGATCTTTAATTGTGGTGTTCAGGATCTTTCCTCCACGGGTCTTTTTTTCACTTGGCACAACCAAAGAGCGGACAATCCTATCCACATTAAACTGGATAGAGTTTTGGTTAACAATGCCTTATTGGACTTTTTGCCTACTGCTTACTACACTGTAGAGCCACCTCTTGGCTCTGACCATTCACCTCTAATTTTTAACTCCACTCATGATAAGCCATTATCTGTCAGATTTATGTTCAAAAATTACTGGATCAACATGGAGGGTTACTGGGATGATGTTTTGGAGGCTTTTGCTTCTAGATCGGCTAGAAGTCCTATGGCATCTTTCTATAATAGTTTGCAAATGCTTAAAAGGGCTTTCAAAAACAGAAATTGGTCTTCCTCTTCTTTTCTTTCTAATGCTTTGTTAGAAATCAAGAGCAAACAACATCAATGCTTGGCGGAGTTGCAAGCTTATCCGCTAGATGTGGATTTAAATCATAACCTGAAGAGAATTAATGAAGAGTTGGCTTCTTTTCAGGCTAATTGGACTTCTTGGTTAGCCCAAAGAGCTAAAGTATTATGGCTTACCAAAGGGGAAGATGACCTTGGGTTTTTGTTTGCAAAAATTAGAAGTAGAAACAATAAAAACTGTATCAAGGAGATTGTTACTTCAGAGGGACACTTTACTACTTTCAGTGACATTTCTAGAGCTATTATCAAGCACTTTGAAAGCCTTTTTAACTCTAGCCATACTACTCCTTTTTTGCCTTTGAATATTCCTACAGGTAATATGGTTCCTCCTCTTTTCTGTGGTATGTTGGTGTCTCCTTTATCGTTTGAGGAAGTTAAAATGGCGGTTTTTGATGGGAATGAAAATACTGCACCGGGCCCGGATGGTTTCACATATGCCTTCTATAGAAAATCTTGGCATCTCATTGGCTTGCAAGTGTTTAATGCTGTTAATAATTTTTTTGAAACGGGCTCTCTTCCTAGAGGTGTTAAAGCTATTGCCATTACTTTAATTCCTAAATGCTCTCACGCTGCAAACATTAATGATTTCCGACCTATTTCTCTCTGCAATGTTCTATACAAAATTGTGGCAAAAGTCCTTTCCAATAGACTAAAAGCTGTTCTTCCCCACATCATTCATGATAGCCAATCTGGTTTTATCACTACTAGATGTTCTACGGATAACATTATTCTTGCTGCAGAGATTCTTAGAGACTTTAAAGGCTCCACAAAAATTTTTTGTGCGAAGCTAGATATCAGAAAGGCTTTTGACACTGTCTCTAGAGAATACATCATTGCTAGACTTTTGCAAAAAGGCTTCCCTGAAGTATTTGTTGGTTGGATTAAAGGGTGTATAAGTGATGTTCATTTCTCCATTTGTTTAAATGGTTCCCTCGAAGGCTTCTTTAAATCTAGCTCGGGTTTATGACAAGGATGTCCCTTGTCCCCCCTCCTTTTCTGCGTTGCCATGGACGGTTTATCCCAAACTCTTTCTGATACTCACAATTTCAAAGGTATTAAATGCAAGGATGTCCAAATCAGCCATTTGATATATGCGGATGACCTTTTGGTGGTTAGGGAGGCTACTATTGAAAATGCTAGGAATCTGAATAGGTGCTTACAGGATTTTGGCTCATTATCTGGTCTTCATATTAATACCACTAAGAGTGCTATTATATTCTCTCATCAAGGCACACAAAATCAAAGGTTTTGTGAGGAACTTGATATTCATAATATCAATCCTCACTTAACTTATTTGGGTATCCCCATCTCCACAAAAAAACTTAAAGCCTCTCACTTCCAACCTCTACTGAGCAGAATTTCTGCTCTACTTGAAGGTTGGAAAAACAAGTTTCTCTCTTTTGCAGGTAGGGTTCAATTCCTTAAATTCACTATCTCCAACACAATTGCTTATTGGATTAGAGGATCCATAATACCCAAAGGTTGTTGTGCCTCTATCAACAAACTTTGCTCAAAATTTTTATTTCATAAGAATTTGGTGGAGAGGAAACTTCATCTTATTTCCTGGTCTAATGTTACTTTACCTAAAGCTAAGGGAGGGTTAGGTATCCCTTCGATTGAGGCTCTCTATTTTGGTGTTTCATGCTCTATTATTTGCAGATTTTATAACTCTAAAAATCTCCTCAGCCGTTGGTATAAAGCAAAATTCATATCTCCGTGGAAACCTTTGCCTCTTTCAGCTTCTAACTACTGGAAGAAAATCTCCTCTACTGCCTTTAAGATCCAATCAGAGATTCAATTCTCTGTGTCTAAGTTCAGTGAATTTTCATTCCTGTGGGATCCCTGGCTCCATGGGCTCTTGATCGGAGAGGCTTCTTTTGCTGATGATGCCTCTCTGGTGAAAGATTTTTATTTTAATGATACCTGGCATCTTCCCAGCTCTATTCCACTGGATATTAGGGAGAATATTCTGGCTGTGCATAACAAAGGAATTAATGAGGTTTTATGGCATGGTTCTTCCAAATGGCTTTTCAAAAACTTTGCTGAAGTTTACCATTCGTCTATTCCTAATGTGGATTGGTGTAATGCGATTTGGCATAAGAATCACACTCTTAAATATGCTTGTTTTGTCTGGATGGCCAGGCTGGGAAAACTGAAAACGGCGGATAACCTTCTTATTCGAGGTATACAGGTGCCTCAAAACTGCTCTTTATGCTCGGGAATGCTGGAGAACCATTACCATTTATTCTTTAACTGCGATTTCTCCTTCTTTATTCTAAAGTCATTACTGCCTGACTTTAATAGCTTTTTACTTAGACCAAATTTATCCCAAACGTTTGACTACATTGAAAATTCTGTTATGTATAACAAAACGGAAAAAGATTTCTGCCTTTTAACTATCAGCTGTGTTATTTACCACATCTGGAGGGAACGTAACAACCGCCGCTTCTCTAATGTTAGAATTAATGTGATTAAGATGATTTCTAACATCTCATCAGCTGTTAGAGTTAAAACTTCAAAATGGAAAAACAGGAATCATTTGCTGCAAAGATTTACGGGAATTTAATTGGGATTCTTTTTAGCTTGTGCTGGAGATTTTATATCATTCTGTTCACTGGAGATGATACTTTTGGTTTAGCTTCTTCATTTCCTTTCTCTTATGATATGAAGGATCAGGTTCCTTTTGGCGTTGTTCCTATTTTTTTCAGACTCAGGCTGGGATTTTTTGGGAATGTGACCGTTTTGTTTGGTGCTCACATTCCAGCTCGTTTGTGGCAAATTTTCAGTATTTCTCACAGGTTTAACACAAAGACTATGCATGCAATACATTGGTGGATCTCCGGCAAACAGACAATGATGAGTATAGACTGTCTCTCCGAGCTATGGATGGCCTCTTTGGCAACCTGGCTCGTTTTTGTGCCTAGTTTTGACAGGCTGGAAGGTACTGTGATGGCCAGTTTTGCGGGGATCTTTTTTTCAGCTTCCTCAGGTTTTGTGGGCAACCAGTGCCACCGCCTGCTTCGGTTGGATCGATACATTGAATTCTTATGATGAATGAGACAGCGTCTTCTTTCTGAGTCTTCAGATTGCCTTTTTCATCTTTGTTTTGCTATAGTCTTTGTGTAATTTTGTATTAGATTTGCTTTCTTTTTCTACAGGTTACTTGTAATTTGATCCTTTTTTTCTAATATATGGGCTCTTGCCCCGGGTTCTCCCAAAAAAAAAAGTACACCGAATTTAGGAATAAAGAAAAAAAAAAAAAAAGAGCTTTCACTCTTCTGAAATCTTGAACACCACATAACACATTGTCAAAACAAAAATCCAATGTCAATTAATCATCCAAATTATTTCTATACAGTCAATTTAATCTAGGAGTATCATATTTCTCTAATTTAAATCTTTGAATATTTCAAAACAGATCTAGATTAAATGGTATCCTAGATAAAAATTAATTCCAATTCAGTCTCTCAACTATATCAAATTAATCATAGTTTAGCCCTTAAAAGATCTTTTGAGATTAACTTTCTACAGTCGAGACACTGAAGTGATGATGGTTGTGATATGTACAATATGAACCACTTCAGAAATAAGCACGTTTATTTTCCATGGCAGATTTCTAAGATGATAAATTAGAGGAGGATCTAAATCATATTTATATAGAAATGCAGCTAGAGAAAATAATCAACTGATCCTGTGCATTTTGATTATTTAGGCTCTGAACTACAAATACAATTACATGATATAACAATCCGACTTATTCAAATTACATTAAAATGAGAAAATTCTATACAAAAGAAAGAGGTAATCATTTGTGCTTGGAATAATCTAATGCATTTCTTCACCCACTGCCGGGAAGCAGTATTAAGAACGTTTGTGATATGCATCAGATTAGCATTTTGCATTTGGGATCCAGGCGCCTCTCGTGCTTCATCCTTTCAACTTCCTCGTTCTTCTCTGAAGACATAACTAAGGAGTGAATCATTTGTGCCCTGTGGAGCAGAGCTAAAAGAAACCCTAGTAAAAAGAGTAATGAGATGGGGAGGGAGCGTGGAAAGCCCCCTGTAGCTTGAACCTTTTCCATAGTTGCGTTCGGAAAACCATTGCCTTTGCCATTTCTTGTAGCGAATTCTCCCATTCCCTCTGTACAGAAACAATCACAGATTAATTGTAAAATAGCTTCCAGATAGCATTAATACTAATTGCTAACCTTTCTTTTCTTGCTTAACTATTTCATCTTCAGCAACCTTCGTCTGGGAGCAATATTTAGACCATTCATGGAATAGGTCAGATGCATCTATGTGCACAGGTGGCATATCCGAGAGCTCTTTTGGATTCATGTCTACCACTTTTTCTACTTTAGTCAAGATCATAAGCTGATAACGTTTAGTAGATGAAATAATATTGAAATAAATATATATTTCAAGAAAAAAATTAGAATCTTGTTCAGTAAGTTACCTGACTGCATCTGCATATCTTTAGTTCCATCCTGCATGTACATGGAGATTCCGTTGTTTAAATTAAAAAAAAAAAATTTATTAGTTGGGTTAAATGCTTCTACATTCTCAATAAAACTATGACTTGGCTTTGATGCTACCATATATTTGGAGTTCAGGCTAATCTTCTCAGCACTAGGATGATTTCTTTGATGTTCCTTTGACGAATTTCTATTTTTCTTCTTAACCGTAGCTGCACGATAAATGGATAACTTTATAAAGAGCTACATATGGAATAGCATGCAAACCTCTACTAAAATAGGGATTTAGGACCTGTGCTGCCTTCTACAGCTTCCTTCCTTGGTGAGATTTCTTCAGGGCAGTAGTCAGCGCATTTATGCAAAGAATTTGAAGCATCTTTGTACTTGGGATTATCAAATCTTCTCCGTGCATAACCTTTTTCTTTCTTCCTCTCATTTATTTTCACGACTGTCATAATTTATTCTAGTTATGGATATATAAATCCGAAAAAGTGGAGAAAAATAATACTAGGATAGCAGCTATATACTAACCTCCATCTGGTATTTGACTGACGAGTATATTTTTGTTGAAGCAATATTCAGCACATTTATGGTACGGGTTTGACGCATATTCGCATTGAGTGTGCCCACTAGTTATCTTTTTGTTGCTGACTAAATTTTTTAATTCCTTTAGACTTTTTAGCTTCATGACTAAAATAATCTACTGGTTAGATTAAGCAATATCATATAATCCCCGTCAAAGAATTTGGAAAATACACATGAGCAAACCTTGCACATGCTGTTCCGTCTCAACGGCCTTTTGGAAGCAGTATTCCGCACATACATGGTATGGGTTTGACGCAAATTTGCACTCAGGACTCACTCTTTTCTCTGAGGGGAGAACTACTAGTTCTTCTTCCTTCAACTTCTTGATAGCTGACATAATGTATTCGTAAGACTATAGCAAAAAGTTTTTGAAACATGTAGCAAATGGCTTACTTTGCCTTGGTGGATCTTTCTCCGGGGCATTTTCTAAGCAATATTCACCGCATTCATGGTATGGATTTGATGCATATTTGCAGTCAAAACTCAGTACCTGAGGGGAGGCAACTACTTCCTTTTCTTCTTTTGATTTCATCATAGCTGAATTAATCCACTCGTTAGGTTATAGCTAATGGAACTTGAGAAAAGCACCGGATGACATACCTTTCCTTGGCTGGTGTCCGTTAGAGACACTTTGAGAGCAGTATTCAGCACAAACATGATACGGATTTGATGTATGCTTGCACTGAGGATTCAATATTTCCAAGGGATCAGCTACTTTATTTTCCTTGGGCTTCATGAGAGCTGAGCAATGCATTGGTTAGATTATGGATGATGAACTAGGAAGAATATATCATCATGGCTTACCTTTCCCACTCTGATCCTTAATATGAAGATTTTGGATACAGTATTCAGTACATTCATGATAGGGGTTTGACGCATATTTGCACACAAGATTCACTCCTGGCTCAGCTGTGACAACTAGCCTTTCTTCTTTTGGCTTCACGGCTAAAATAAGTTTTAAGTTGAATTATAACCAACATGAGAAATCATAATAAAAGCATATCAAGTCAATGTAACGAATTATTTACCTCCACTAGGATGTTCCTTTTCAGGGTTATCATCAAAGCAGTATTCAATGACTTCATGGTAAGGATTCGATGCATGTTCGTGATTAGGAAGTGCACGGCTTTTATCAATTTTAAATGAAACTCCTTTTGGCTTCTCTATAATCAAATTAATAATTGGAAAGAGAATGACTTAATAATCTAAGAGGAATTATTTTTATCTATTAACTTCAACGGATAAAAAAAAAGAAGAATAAGAAGAATGATAGGACATAGGACACATGCTTAGCACCTCCATCGCAAAAAATTTGGCTTCATTGACTATAGTTTTAGCCTTTGGGGAACTAAAAAACATAATTGCTTCTATATATATATATATATATATATATATAGATCCCCGTGCAAGTCAGGATAAGCAAATGCCCACCCTAAAAAAAAAAAGAAGTAATGTCTTCGACGCTTCGCAGTCATAGCATTCGGCGTTCTCGCTTGTTCTCGTATTGAAGGTAACTTTTATCTAAACGAACTGTTTCTATTTGCTTGATGAAGTTCTTCTGATTGTTGGAGCTTATTCTATTTGCTTGATGAAGTTATTCTGGTTGTTGGAGCTTTAGGTTTTTTTTGTTCTTGGTCTTTCCTTGTTGTTGTGTTCTTAAGATTATAGCATCAATTTTCTATGTTGAAAATTCAAAATTGGGCAAAGCCATGAGATCTGACAAGTTAAAAAGATTCTAACATATAATGTGTTAAAAATAAGGCATTATACATGAGCCATGAAGATCACGTCTATTGTGGTTGTTGAGAGAGTATTAAGATGTTCAGGTTATCTTCAAATGATGGTGGAAATGCTGCTCTTACACTCTACCAGCAAATCTCAAACCTATTACCGAATAAAAAATAAAGGCTTTAGTCATAATACAAACAAATAGCATTCAAATGAAATCATAAATGTGAAAAAGTTTAAAAGCTCAAGCAATGCCATCACAGTCTGTAGGAAGCGGAGCATTTAAATAAAGTCAAAGAAGATAGATTAGCAGGAAAGTTAAACATACCCAAATTGGCATGTTGAAATTTATATTGGTGTTGAGGGCTAGAATATTAGTGGCGGTAAAGTATCAGATTTCACATCTTAGCGTTGCACGAGTATCAAACTCACAAACAGAGAAAGACCAGAAATACCATAATTTTTTACGTGGAAAGCCCCGAAAGAAAAAAGCACAAGGCCACGCCCAGTTGAAATGATTTACTACTGTTTGAATAGATTACAAATGATTTGTTCGTCCTTGAGATTGAGGACGACTAGATTACAACAATCAACCGTCAGGTTGAAATCATGCAACCAAAAGGGATCAGACGAAAGTCCAATGGCGTTCAATGGACGGGCAGAAATCCAGCGACAGCTGGTGGTTGGGCGAAACACCAACGATAATCGGTGGCCGGGCAAAAATCCGACGATAATCCGACGACGGTCGATGGTCAGGCAGTGGTTGAGGAGGAATCTGGTGGCAAGAGAATTCTGATTTCTCTCTCTTCCTTCCTTGGGTTCCTCTCTATGAAGAATGAGGTGTCTATTTATAAATTTTTTTGGGAGTGCATGACCAGTAAATAGGGAGAAGATCATGGGCATGTTGGGAGTATTTTGAATGAACAACTGATATCGACTCCCTTGATCGTGGACCATTTATCGAGTATTTAAGCGTCTTAATGACATCAGAATTCGGTGATCTTGGGCTCGTTAGATTCGCCTCATCGAGCCGCTCGATTCGACTATAAGCATGTCGTGTTTGAAAATTGTTTGGTTGTCCATTTTATGGTTTGAACCTTCTAAATACGCTTCAGGTCTTCGATTTGGATATATTTAGGCTAGGATTGGGTTGAATTTGGTGTCTTTGGGTTCATCTTTTTGAGATGTTCAGTTCGAATATAAGTTTATTGAAATCTGAGTTCGGATGGTCCTGAATTTAATTTTGGAAGCTTCCAACTCAAATTGCCTCGAGATTTATGCCTGATCAAGATAAATTTTTGATGATGTATCAATTGGCATGTTGAAGTCATACCCTGTTCCCTATTTGATAAGTCAAACAATTCCTCAAAACTCCTTTGGTATAAACCACATTCATAAATTGTACCTTCCTATAGAGCCATGGCAACAAAGTGCAACAGCTAGTAGAAACAAATTTTATATGGAAAACTACATAAAAATGAACTAAAAACATGATAAATAGCTTTCAACAAAAACAAAAAGTAAAATGCAAAATACCAATATTTAATCAAGAATATATAATAAAATGAACACTTACTATTTCACAAAGTGCTGATGGGTTGCTTGTTTCAAAATTAGTGTTGAAATATTCATTTGTAATTTCCATGTAGCTCAAAATCTCAGCATCAATTGTTTCATCTTCTAAGTTGAATATAATAACATTAATATATTTTCATTTAACTATCATATTCATAGTCACTTTTCCAAGAAAAAATAAATAAATAAATTTCACTCTCACTAGAAGAACCAAATTAAGAATCCATTTGCCAATGATGTCTATAAATCCCAATAAGCACTTCTTGAGAACCACACAAAAATGAATGTACATAACATTGATTCTTCCCTTCAGGATTTTTAAAAATATCATATTGTTGACTCATTAATGCATAAATTACTGAGGAATATAATATCTCATGTTCATGATATTCCATTTTACTAAACAAGTTGTGGACAGTATGTATCTTTTTTTTATTAAATTTGCATGTTCCCTAAAGTTTTAGTTCAAGATCCAAACTATAGTGATTGTTGGTTCAATCTTATGAGTTTCTTTTTTTATTGGATTCTTATTTTGAGAGCTTCGCAAGTGTTATTAAACTTTTATCACATTGATGAAAGCTAATTCTAATTCAATAGATAATTGTTAGGCTTTTGACAAATGGAATGATTCTTGAAGAGAAAAAAAACTTGTTGAGATTGATATTAACAATCTCAGTTGACCCTGATCTTCGACCATCAATCTGGAGTTATGATGTGAATGAGAGAGATGAAGTTCGTATAACTTATTTGTTGAAGGGTCCGCACTAACAAAAAAATCATTATTTCCCTCAAAAAATGTTAAGAAATATTAACTCAAAATGGTTTGAAAATTTTCCTAATTAGATAGAATAAATTGTACAAAAAAATGCTGCATTTTGTCTTTATTGTTACTTATTTAAGCCTCAAGAGCAATTTAATACTTGTCAAGGCGATTGAGATACATTTGTTGATGAGGGATTTAAGAACTGGAAGAGAAAAGAGTTGGATCATGTCAGAGAACACAATAGTTCACACAACAAGGCAAGACAAAAATGTGAGAATTTAATGAAGCTTCAAGAGCAGATTATTCCTACTTTATGGTTGAGCAAGGAAAATAATAATAAAAAATAATATCGCATCATGTTAACTACAGCTGTTCATTTTGTTCGATTTCTTATTCGTCAAGGGATATCCATCCGTGGGCGCGCATGATGAATCATATAACTTAGATAACCAAGAAAATTATATAAAACTATTTCTGTTTCTTGCAAATCATAACAAAAAAGTCAGAAAAGTTGCATTTAAGGAAACCATTGGTAAGTAAAATATTTATTTGATATTACTTCAAGAGTTATAAATACTGTTGGAGCCTCATGCAAGAGAGATGATACTCTAAAAGTTATTCAACGTGATAAAATAGTTTTTATTTAAGCACTGAAGAGTTAATTAATGGTCGATATTTCAACTAAGAAACTAATTTGCAGTGCTCTGGCGACACCCGTTGGAGTTCGCATTTTCAAACATTAATCAGTCCAACAAAAATGAATGCTTCTGTATTCAAAGTACTTGAAATTGTCAAGGAATATAGGATACATGATGCTGGGGACATCAGATCATCATGGAAAGCTTACCAGCGACGTGGCCGCCGATCTACGGCCACGATCGAGTCTTTATATTTTTGAGTCGATGTATTTTATTTTCATGCATTTTATTATTTGCTTATGTGTGTTTTATTATTTTCCATTGTACCCCTTTTTATGGAGTTGTCATGTGTAAGCCTAAGGGCATTTGTGTCATTTTATTTGGAGTCTTTTGTATGAGGCTATTTAAAGCCCCCTTTGTATTATTTTGAGGTTAATGAATGATTGCTTATGATATTTTCTCTTGAATGAGTTTGTGAGAGCTTGTGAGTTCTAGTGGAGAGAGCTTCCTAGGAGAGGAAGGAGATGGCGCAATACCCACCAACTTAGATAAGTCGAGTTCGTGGTTCCTTTTTGTATCCCCTTTATTTTCTTCTCCTACCTCTTTCCCTCCAAACCCCTAACTGCCAGCTACCTCCAACTCACCCGATTCCCTCATCCTCCTCCCCACACCCCACGGCCAAACAACACCACCTCATTGCCGCCGGCCAAGGTATTACCCGCCGGCTAATTTAAGGTTAGGACTAATTTGGATAATTTAAGGTTAGGACTAATTTGGATAATTTGAAATTCAACTTTACCAAAATTTGGATTCAAATTGTTCCCTAAATTAACTCTTCTATTTTAGGAAAGCATGTGATGTAAACCTATTTTGAATTTTAAATTCAAAGGGATTTGAATTAACTATTTCCTAATGCTAAATCCTAATTTGGGAATTCCAAATTGCTCTCAATTAATTCCCCCCATCATCCCAACAAGCCGCCAACCCCTATGGGACCAATTGGGCTATGTTTCCTAATTTTCCCACCTCCTTTTGCTTTAATTTATTTCCTAAGTGAGCCCCTTGTTTTAGGAAATAGATTAAACCCTCTCTGGATCCTACTACCGCCAGCCCCATTAAGGAGTCAAGTAGTATTTGTTTCCTATTTCCCTATCTCCCTGCTAGGTATAATTTCTAAATCCCGCCCTCAATTATTTGGCTGAATTTACATCTCCCATAACTCCTCCATTAATTCCCACATTTAAGGAGTAAATTAAGGAATTCCAAATCCTTCCCTAGCCCATCCCGCCAAACCCCCCCAATCCCGTCAGCTTGTTTCTCCCGTCACCTCCCAACCCCCTTGCCTACTTGAAAACTACTATTCTGTATTGCTTCTATTTTCTTAATTATCTTGATAGTTCAAACTCGGAGCATGTGATTTAGCCTACGCAATTGATCCACTCATTTGTTTTAATTGTCGTTTGAAAGTTGCTTGTAATTTTGTTCCGAAATTGTTCTAATTTATTAGTTGTGCAATTCCCACATGAATCCATAACATGTCATCTAAGTAGTCCTGCATCACATGATCATCAGTCAATTGAAGCTAGTGCTTTAATACATACTATGAAATGATCAGTCAGTTGAAGCTAGTGTTTTAATACATACTATAAAATCTTTTAACTTTGTCTTGACACTGCATTTAATGATTAATATTTTAGGGATTCCGAATGAATTTCAAGCCTTACAAAGAAAAGATCAATATATCATAAATGCAATAAAATTGGTAGAAGTGTTCAAACAACGATTGCAAAAGATAAGGGAAAATGGGTGATAGCCATTACTTGAAGAAGTGTCATGTTTTTATAATATTTTTGATACTGAAGTTCCAAATATAAATTCTATATTCAAGGCTCATGGACAGTTAGTACGAAAAGGTGCAGAAATAACAAACTTCCATCATTATCGAGTTGACTTATTCTACATTGTTGTTAATATGCAACTTCAGAAACTGAATAATCAGTTCTCAAATACTAGCACTGAGTTACTTCTTTGTGTGAAATGTTTAAATCCAAGTAATATATTCTTTGCTTATGACAAGGGAAAATTAATTTGTCTTGTAGAGTTATATTCAACAGATTTCTCTATGGTTGATCTTGTGTCTCTTGAACATCATCTATCTATTTATATTATTGATATGCGTGCAAGCGATGAGTTTAGCTACTTGACTAGCATCGCTGCTTTTGCAAAACATATTATAAAGGCCAAAAAAATATTGTGTATCCCCTGGTTTATAGACTTATTTTTTTGGAGAGGGTATTTTCTGTAATGAAAATTATTAAGCATCGGTTGCGTAGCAAAATGGGTAATGCATGGCTCAATGACTGCCTAGTGCCAGACATTGAGGAGGAAATATTTGATTTTGTTCCCAATGAAGTCATTATTCAATATTATCAAAAAATATAAAGTACAATGCAAAGTTTCTAATTTTTTTTAATTCATAAATTATAATGAATATAAGACTTTGCATAGAATTTTAGCTTATATATATACATATATAAATTTTGATATTTATTTTTTTATATATTGAGTTTTCCACCCTAAAAAAAGACCGGATTCACCGCTCTATATATATCCATTCTATCTCTCTTTTTCAATACCTTTCTCTACTTCCTCTGAGCTTTTTAGCTGGAAGACTCTGAGTGAAACATATGCTAGATCATTGATATTGAATTTGGACAAATAGAGCATACGACTTACCCTGTCCATGCTGCTCCTTCTCGGGGGCACTTTGAAAACAGTATTCAGCACGTACATGATCAGTATTTAATGCACTTTTGCACTCAGGATTCACTCCCTGCTCTGCAATAACAACTACTTCACTTTCTTCTTTTGGTTTTATGACTGAAAAAAAAAAAGTTGAATTACAGCAGCGATGAGAATTTACAACAAAATTAAAGCAGGTCAATATCAAATGATTTACCTCCCTCAGGATGTTCCTTTTCAGAGGTATCCTTACAGTAATACTCAGTAACTTTATTGTAAGGGCTGGATGCATGTTTACGACTACTATGCACGTATTTATCAGTTTCCATAAAAACTCCTTGGGAATTTTCTACAATTATATTAACAGGAAAGGAGATAAATCAATAATGTAAGAGAAATAGTTTGAGTCTACTACTTTAACGGATATCAACAAAAGCTTACTTCAACAGACATCAATATAAAGAGAATAATAGAAAGAAAAAGTTCAGGACAAGTTCCTTGATTAAAAATAAATTTTCTTCATTAATAATATTCTCAGCATTTGTGAACAGAAACACAGAAACACAAAATAGATTATTTTACCTCCCTCAGCTAAGCTCCTTTCTGGGGTATTCCTGAAGCAGAATTCAGTACATTCATGGTGAGGTCTTGATGCATATTTGCACCGAGAATAAGACTTACCTTGCTCATACCTGTCCCTCTCGGGGACACTCTCAGAACAATATTCGAGACATACATAGGACGGGTTTGATGCATTTTTGTACTCAAGATTCACTCTTTGTTCCACAGCGACAATTATTTCATTTTCTTTTGGCTTTGCGTCTGCATCAAAATTTTTAATTGAATTACACGAAGATGAGAATTTACAACAACAATTGAGCAAGTCAATCTGACAAATAATTATCTCCCAAAGGATGCTCCTTTTCTTGAAAGTTGCAATTGCATTAAGAAAGGAAATGAAAAGAAAACAAATACAAGCTAGGAAAAGAGGACTAGGGTGGGTCATCCACCCTATCACTATCACCCCTCAAAAATAACAACAGAGAGGGGGGAATCTCATTCATATTACAATCTTTCCACACAAAATCCCCCAAACATGGCGCAAAAATCCGCAGGTTTGTTGCTATCCTCAAAGCAATATTCAATAGCTTTGATGGTAAGGACTGGATGCATGCATATCGAAATGACACACACTGCATCCTCAGTTTTAATGAAAACTCCCATGGTATTTGTACAATTGAACTAGCAACAGGAAAGGAGAAAAAGCTAATATCTAAGAGGAAAAATTTGCATCTGATAACTTCAACAGATATCAACAAAAGAGAACAAAAAAGAATGACAGAAGAACATTTTTGGTAGCAGAATTTAGTGCATTAATGGGGAGAGTTTAAGCTTATTTACACTATTGATTCATACCAGTGTTCTCTATATTGCTCATCACCTTCACTCCTTCCTTCAAACTTTTTACCCTGCTGACTGAATTAATGTATCGATTAGATTATCGTTATTGAATATGGATGAATGTAGGATTTGGCTTACCTTTTCCATGCTGTTCCCTCTTGGGGACGCTTTGAAAGCAGTATTCAGCACATACATGATATGGATTTGATGCATTTTTGCATTCAAAGGTGAATCCTTGCTGTATGGTGACATCTAATTCATTTTCTTTCTTTGGCTTCATGTCTACAACAACTTTTAAGTTGGATTTAAAGGTTACAACTAACAGGGGCATTCAAAATAAAAGCAGAACAAGTTAATATGACAAAGTAATTACCTCCCCTCAGATTTTTCTTTCTAGGAGTATCCTCAAAGCAATCTCCATTAATTTTATCATGACTGGATGCGCTACGGTTCAGACGCACTCTACTTCTATTTGTCGTATTAGCCTTCTCTGTAATTAAATTAACAATTACGAAGGAGATGAATCAATGATATAACATTTATAGTTTATAATCTCCTAACTTAATAGGTATCACCAAAAGAAAAATTAGAGGCAGATAGCATTATCAGACTCATGCTTAGCTCTTTATTCATGCACAATTTAGCCTCACTGACAATAATTTTAACTTTGCGGAACTGGAGCACATAAACATAGAGCCGTTTATCTCACCTCCTTCTGCTACATTTCTGTCAGTCACACTTTGGAAACAAGACTGAGTACATTCATGATTAGGGTTTGATGCATGTTTGCACTGAGGGTGAATACCTGCTTTCTTTTTAGTGCTGAGTACCTTCTCTCCTTCCTTGGGGCCTTGAAGTCTCATGGCTGAAGTATTAATGTATTGGTTAGTTTATTATCACTGAATTTGAACAAATGTAGCATATGACTTACATTGCCCTGGCTGGTCCTTCTCGGGGACAGTTTGGAAGCAGCATTCAGCACATGCATGGTAAGGGTTTGATGCATGTATGCACGCAGGTTTCATTCCTCTCTCTGTAGTGAAAACTTCTTTCTTTTCTTCCTTTGGATTCATGCCTGCAAAAATATCTTAGCTAAATAAAAAGTAGTATCAAGCATTCCCACGCAAAAATAGCGCAAGTCGATTTGATCATTTAGCATCCTCAGGCCTCAGGATGTTCCTCTTATTAGCACACTTCCACATTCATCCTCTGCTTTGAATTAGGGAAATTCAAAATGGATTTCAAATTTTAAAATATGAGTTTCAGTCATTTAAATAAGTGGATGAATGGCATATATATGAGAGGACAAATACTATAGCTGAATATTAGGGTATAGAGAAAGATCGAGGGCTAGACTACTATTGATTTAAGAAAGTAAAGTAATTTATCTCCATACATCTTTTGTATCTATAAAAAAAAATTAAAAGACTAAGATTTAAAGTAACTAGAAGATAATTTTTAACTATCTTTTACACCAATGCATTTTAGACTCTTAGTCACTTCAAATAATAACCATTCAAATTTTTTTATCGATCGAGAAAGATTCATATCATAATTATTCGACAAATTTTACACTTGCTATCAACTAATGCATCCCTCCACTTTTTTTTATCCAGGGCTTGCGAAATGAGTATATACGTGAAAAGGTTGAAGTTTATCTAGTGGAAAATAAGATTAAAGAGAGTCAACTTAGATGGTTTGGTCACATAAAATATCGGCCTTATGATGACCCAGTTAGCATAGTAGATGTATTAGATATAGCCTATGTTAAGAAAGGTAGAGGTGGACCTAAAAAGACTTATGACATTTTTTATTAGATTTAAATGAATTGACTCTTCATAGGACACAATAGAGAAAAATGATTCATGTAGATGACACTAAGTAGTAATAAACACTTGATATTGTTGTTGTTGTATGGAGAAAGATGCGTGACACAGACATCTATGTGTGTGTATAATTTTCATACTCAATATCATACTATCAATTGAGTTTTGGAAAATTCATGATTGCAAAGAGAGTTTAACATTCTAATTTTGTTTGAAGATTAAACTTAAAAAAAGGAAATTGTTTGAGATTGAAGATGAGGAACTTGGAGGAGGAGGAATATTGAACTCAGCTAGAGAGGCGGAAAGATTGGAGTTGGGTGGGAAGGAAGCTGTAGATTCTTGATCTGCCATTTGTGTTAACTTATGAGGTGCTGTTGAGCAGTTGCTCTGATACCATGAAAGCAGCTGAGAAGAGTAACGAACAGCAGAGAATAACAGGGAAACAGAGAAAGAGTGAAACGCAGAAATTTTACTGTTTCATTGAATCAGCCTAAGTGTATTCTATGATATATAGAGAATGCAAAGACAGTTTGTTATAAGGAATGTGCTGGCTATTGAATGTTGTAGGCGAAGTGGAGCAGATGCCGAATACGATGGTGGTCCTCACTGAGAGGTGTCGATTGTCCTGATGCTCTGGCATCGTTTACTATAATTTGAAACTTGGTGAAATTGGGCAATATAAAGAAAAAAAAAAGTAAATTATGTACAAACTTCAACGTTTTACGCTGTTTAACACCACTCGGAACCTTTAAGCCTAATACGCTTTCCATTAGCACAATTTGACCATCAATCCGTCTAAATGGACGATGAATTAGAGGTGCCATTTTTTATTCGAGCAGCAATATAAGTGGTCATGGCAACCTTCTAACAACCTTACCACTAAATAATAATAGTAATAATACATTCAAAATATAACCAAACTAAAATTAGGATATCCTAGATAAAATTAGATCAAAATTAATCTCATAACAATAGTTAAGATGAAATATGCATAATCAATTAAAATTTGTATTACCCACGTCTCAAAATGAATCAACGACTTCAAGATTCATCCTCGCCAAAAAAAATTTCGGATGTCTTGACCTTATTTATTTAAAAAAAAAAAGGCGATTTATAGCAGAAATTGCCAAGCGTTGAACAGTAGTCGATTAACTTCTTGGGGGGGTTAGTAAACAAGCAAACAAACTCAAAAAGTTCCAGAAGAAAAGCAAAGGAAGCAACAACGCAAACCTGGTTGTTGTTCTCCGGCATCCGGACGCTTCTCTGACACTTTGTCCAAGCAGTATTCAGCGCATTTGTGGTAGCGATTGGAAGCGTGAGGGCACTTCGGATTCACCCGCTTTTTCTGTGATATCTTCTCGAGCTCCCGATCCCCATCTGCAAATTTGTACAGGTCCGGGGTTCAAAATCCCAGCTAAAAAACATAAAGGAAAAGCACAAGAAAGCAGAGCGAAAATGAAGAACCTTTTCTTATTGCATTTAAGAAATCTTTGCCAGAGGGAATATTGTCAAGGCAGTGTCGGCCGCACTTATGGTAAGGATTGGATACGTTAGGGCAGTCGGGATGAACACCCTTATCGTTGAAAGAGAGGACCATGGCAAGGGGAAGAGCCTCCCTCCTATTCCTGTTGGTCCTGAATCTTGTTCTTCCCACCTCCATCCAAACCCTTGAAGCACTTCTGCGCAAGAAATGTAGAAGCAAGGAGGCAGAAGAAATAGTCCCATGGCCGGCAGGACGCAGGAACCAAAGAAAGGATGATTAAAGAATGCTCCCGATGACCTTGTCGTCCGTCAGCTCCAAATTCTAAGAACGGACAGTGATACCTGGAATTTGTCCAATGATATTTCAACATTTTATCAGCGGAGCGGACAGAGTTGCATTTGTCCAATGTCTGCGGTAACATCGCCCATTCGTATTGCAGTGGTTGTGCCATTTGCTGTGAGCGAGCTTGCAAACTATTTACTAATTTCCCACTAATTTTTGTTGGGAAATTAATTTCCCACTAATTAGAGAGGGCGGAGAAATCATGACATGATCACATCACACATGCTGTTGCAGGCTGCAGGATGCAGCAGACTGAAGCTTTTTTTATCGGTTCCATCAAATCATTAACATATCTCCACAAGTCAAAAGCCGGCCTCCAGATCGAAACTGTCACCGAGTGATCGACGAAAAAAATTCCTTCCATCTCATCCCTTAACTGTCCAAAAAAAAAAGAAAGCCGGCAATTTTCTCAAATGCCGGCAGTTTAATAATACTTTGGATATGATGTTGGATCAATTAAGAGATCATATTATATGAAAATTTTGTGCTATTCATTTGTACTTAATACATATCATTAATTAATGATGAATTTTGTTATAGAAAATTTATAATAAAGATTATTTTGATCCTCTAAAAATGTATCCTCTAAAGATTGTATATATTGAGCTCTTGAGATATTTTAATAGCATATAATTATCAAGTGGTGTATATGAGTCTGCAAAAAATTATGCATCTATATGATTTATGGGTAGATTAAACAAATGAGAGAGAGAGAGAGATGATGCCGTCGCTGGGATCTCCGAAAACCTGTAGGAAAAAGAATCGCAAGCCAAGCAATGGAACAGGGAAACGGAGCGATGTGCTCCAGGGAAATTTGTATATTGATAAAAGGATTAACAATTCACTGAGCTCACCCAGCCCTTCTCTTCTCCTATAAGTATAATTCTATATTTTCTAAATAACTGGAAAGTGCTATAAAAGAGCAATATATCATAAAGCCAACTAATGAAGCAGAGAGGTGAAAAGGTAAAAACGATAGTGGAGCGTATCTGGCCGTTATTCCTGGATGTGTTGTGCCGCAGGCACAACATAGTGCATCAAGAGAGGGGCATGAAATGTCAACTGATTGCCCTAATGATACTTATTTAAGTGATTTTGTGGAGGTATAGCTAGAAGCTTGTTGCGTCCTGAGATATTCGCGGTAGTAGAGAAGTATAAAGTTTAACGTCTTAACTTTGTATGAAAATCATATAAGAGAGCATTTATAAGATACATCAAAATTTTTATGTGGAAAACCACTGAAAAGGGGCAAAAATTATGGGGTCTAACCCAATTTGAATGAATACACTAGTATTTGCAGTTGATTATAAATGAGGCCCTTCCTTGGGGGAAGGCCTTGGTTTGATGTAATAAATAAACATCATATATCGTATGTTACATGATATAACTTGAATGAATCACTATTGATATATATGTTTGGTCGGTAGAATCATAGTCGGCGGGCGAGGAGGTTGGAAAAACTGTATTCTGGTGATGATGGTCGGAAGAACCATAGTCAGCCGACGATAGTGGTCATAAAAGATCGTTGTCTGGTGACGAAGGTCGGAAGGATCATAATCTGGCTATGGAGGACGGAAAGATCGTAATCGGCCGGAAAAAGTGGCCAGAAAGATCGTTGTCTAACAATGGATGTCGGAAGGACCTTATTCGGTAGGTGACAATAGCAAAAAAAATATTGTTGTATGGTGAAGGAGATCATAAGGACCGAAGTCGGTGGACGACGAAGGTTGGAAGTTCATCGATGGGCAGAAGTTTAATGATGGGTAGAAGTTCATCTTTGGGTAGAAATCCGGCAACATGTGGAAGTTTGACGTAGGGTAGAACTTCAACGAAGGTCCGATGATGGGCAGAAGTCCGGTGTCGGGTAGAAATCTGACGATTGGAGGAAGTTCGACATTGGTTGAAAGTCCGGTGTCGAGTAGAAATCTGACGATTGGAGGAAGTTCGACATTGGGTAAAAGTCCGTTGAAAGTTCGGTGATGGGAAGAAGTCCGACGACTAACGAAACTTCGGCGTTGGGTATTCTTATTTGATACGACATCACAAAATTAGCTTGATCGGGCACGAATCTCGAGGTTCGAAAGCTAGTTGGAAACTTCAAAAATTAATTTTGGGAGCACCCGAACTCCGATTTCAGCAAGCTTACAGTCAAACTGAGCATCTCGGAAATACGAACCCAACGACACCAAATTCAACTCAATCCGAGTCCAAATGAGTCCAAATCAAGGACCCAAAGCGCTGTTGGAAGGTTCAAACCGCAATTTGAGTTACCAAACGGTCTCCGATTTTAACAAGCTTATACTCGAATCGAGCGATTGGACGAGAGGAATCCAACAAACCCAAGATCGCCGAATTCCGACATCATTAAGGCCTCCAAATGTCCAATGAACGGTGCACGATCAAAGGGTTCAATATCAACCGTTCATTTAAACCACTCTCTATTCGCCCATGATCTCACACTTATTTACGAGCCACGCCACTCCAGAAAACTATAAAATAGAGGCCTCGTTATTCACAAAGGGGGACTCAAGTGAAGAGAGAGAAGAAGAATAGAAGAAGGAGGAGAAGGAAGAAGCTCCTCCTCGACCACCGCCGGAGCTCTTCTCGCCGCCTGAAGACGCCGGAACTCTGCCGGATTTTCGGGAAACGCCGGGAATTTGCAGAACTTTGTAAACTTACTTGAAGAAACGAATTGTAATCTGATTGCCCCGACTTGTGGGACAAATTAACCATTTGTAATTTGTAAAACACTAGTGAAATTTTTCAACTGGGCGAGGCCCCGTGGTTTTTTCACTTTTTGGGTCACGTAAAAATTCTGATGTTCGTATTCTCTTTTATGTTTGTGTGCTGAATACTCGTACAATGCTTGGACGTGATTTTACAAACTCTACCGCCGCGTATATTCTAGCACGCAACAATATTTATGAAAATTAGTTTTATTAAATAAATATTTTTTTTCTGCTTAATTATTATCAGACTAAAAAAACAGTAAAAACGGACAAACAAAAACTCGTTTCTCTAGTACGAAGACATCACTAGTCTACTGCGGCTCTCTGCAGCATCTAAGCCAAAACGCTCACATGCTGTATTTTTACTCTCTGGAAAAAAAGGGTAAAGATAAAAATGCTACTTCCTTTCGGCTTCGAACCCTTGCCGGCGCTCTCGCCTTCTCTTCCCCCACGCCCTCAATTCTCCACTCACCGCCCCCTCACTCCTTTCTCTAGTACGAAGACATCTCTTCGATGGGTCCTCCCTTTCCTCCACCTCCGCACTCCGACGCTCTTGTCTCACGTTGCTTCCTCCGCCACTGTCGAGCCATTGCAGCATCCAGAAAAGCTACAGAATGGGGAGATGGATATGAGTCTCGAGGAAGGATATGACGAAGAAACAGAGATGGATCATTTCAAGGCGGAATCATTACTAGATATCTATGCCGACAAGGACGCGAGGCATCTTCCCTCGCCGGAGGTGGAGGTTATGCAACTTGAAGATCTTCCTGATCAGTGGAAGCGGTCTCGGATTGCTTGGCTCTGTAAGGAGTTACCGGCTCACAAGCAAGGCACCCTTGTCAGAATTCTCAACGCGCAGCGCAAGTGGATTAGACAAGGGGATGCAACCTATGTCACCGTCCATTGCATGCGTATTCGCGAGAACGAAGCCGCTTACAGAGTTAGCACCTTGCTCGATGTTTGTTCTAGATGTTTATTTCTTGGGTTGCTTGCTTGTAAATTGCCTGATAGGTGTTTGATTATTTGGCCCTTCCAGTTTTTGCAACCAAAATGAAGTCTTTATCTGCTGCTCGGCCACATTTCTGCCGGAAATTTTGTTTTATTTTTTATTTTTGTTATTTAACACAGCTAGCTACTGTTTTTGCTGGTTATTAGACTAATGGTGATTACTGGTTGAAATTAATTTGTGGTCTACTCTTAGTTGAAGGAGAAGTCGTGCTCCTTGGATTTAGTGATAGTTATTAGAGTAGCTAATCATGTAGTTTATATGCTAATACCGGCAGTTACTTCGCTGTTTAAACTTTCTCCAATTAGCTTCTCACACTTGTACCTACACACTCACTTTATTCACCTATATATTCCTACATGTACCTATTACTTGACAAGGCAATAATAACAATTCATTTTCTATCCTCTGCTACTGTTCTTCTTCCTCACCTCCGATGAGCTGCGTAGAGATTAATCTTGATTCTTAGTTTCTACATGGTATCAGGCCTCTTTTTCCTTCTTTCTCTCTTGCAATGACGACATCTCTCTCTGCCTCCCCCTCGGTAGCCGAACAACTTTCCAGCACCACAACGGAGATCTCTCCGATCTCCCCATCGCTCAAATTTGTGGTCTCCAATCTCAAAACACTCGTCCCTAACCAGCTCTCGTCGGACAACTATTCGATTTGGCGCCACCATATTATCAAGCTTCTTCGCGCCAACGACTTTGATCACTTTCTTGCTCCTCCAGTTCCCCCTATCGACCCTTCTGACCCTTCCGCTGCCGCGACACTCAATTGGCGTATCACCGATCAGAATCTGCAGGCAGCTTTATGTTCGACGATATCCCCCCCCCCCCTGTGCTTCCCTATATCCTTCATCTTGACACTACCCATGAGATCTGGCAGTTTCTTGAAAATCAATTTCAGGCGACCAGCCGATCCAAGGTCATCCAGCTCAAAAATGAGCTTTACCACATCTCCATGAAAAATCTTTCCATGGTTCAGTACTTGACCGAGATCAAGAAGCTCGTCGATCAGATTGCCTCGGCCGTCTCCACCATTGATTCCGAAGATATTATCCTGTATATCTTGAATGGATTGCCCCCAGCATATCAATCTTTCAAGACATATATCCGTAATTCACCTACCCAAATACGCCTGCACAATCTTTACGCAATGTTGATAAGTGAAGAAATCCATATCACCGCCGACGCCGCTCGAAGCTCCGCTGACATCGTCCAACAAGCGGCCCTTTACGCGAATCGTGGACGCGGTCGTCGCAACAGGGGACGACCTCCTCCGCCTCAATCCTCTAATGGACGTTCCGTGAATCAACAGCAATCAGCTCACATTTGCCAAATCTGCGCTAAGAAAGGTCACACGGCAGACGTATGTTGGCACCGTATGAACGCCAACTACACTCCTCAATCTTCAACTGCCAAGCAAAACAACGCTCTCGTGGCCAACTCCGACATGCCGTCCTACAACTGGTACCTTGACTCCGGAGCTTCCTCTCACATGACAAATGCCGCTGATAATCTCACTCAGGCCACCACCTATCCTGGCTCCGAACGGCGTCTTCATCGGGGATGGAAGGAATATCCCTATTGCTCACTCGGGCACGGGCATTCTTCCTACCCCGACCCGTAAGCTTTTCCTATCTAACTTACTTCATGTTCTCGACATCTCACACAATCTTATTTCTATTTCCAATCTTGTTCAAGATAATAACATTTCTGTAACGTTTGATCCCATGGGTTTTGTGTTTAAGGATCTGACGACAAATCAACCGCTTCTTCGCGGTCCATGTAGTGCCGGTCTCTACCGAATCGCGCCTCCATCTACAGCAAAACCTCCTACATCTGCATTCCAGGTGTCCAAAGACAGTTGCTCCCACTGGCACGATCGTCTCGGCCATCCCAATTCAAGAACGCTACATCAAACAATCCTACTCTACGAATTATGCTTCCTGTTAATTCTTGTACTACATGTATTCAATGCAAATGTCATAAACTACCGTTTGAATTGTCTAGATCCCGAACGACATTTCCTTTAGCGCTTTTACACGCCGATGTCTGGGGTCCGGCTCCGGTTCCCTCACCTCACGGCATTCGTTATTTTTTAATTCTTGTAGACGATTATTCTCGTTATACTTGGATTTTTTCACTGTCCCACAAATCTTTTGTCTATAATGTGTTTAAACAATTTATTGTTTTCATTGAGAATCAAACCAACAGGCGGATTAAAGCTCTTCGAACGGACAGTGGCACCGAATTTGTCAATCACCAGATGAACGAACTCCTTCGATCTAAAGGGATAAGGCACCAGCTCTCCTGTCCTTACACCCCCGAACAGAACGGCGTGGCGGAACGCAATAATCGCCATATTCTGGAAACAACTCGATCTCTCCTCCACCGAGCTTCCATTCCTCATTCCTTCTGGCCGGAAGCTAGCTCTACCGCAGTATATCTGATAAATCGGATGCCTTCTCCGAACACCCAGCACAAATCACCTCTGCAGCTAATGTTCAACATCTCCCCTGAATACAAACACCTACGAACGTTCGGTTGTGAATGTTTTCCCCTGCTTCCTAAGCATGAGCGCAACAAACTCCAACCAAAATCTCGTCCGTTTGTCTTCATGGGCTACTCAGATGTCCATAAAGGCTATAAATGTCTCAATAAGGATTCCCATTCTACCGTCATTTCTCGTAACGTTACATTCCTAGAAGACTCGTTCCCTTTTCACACTAACTCCTCTTCTCCACAGCTGAAGATCGATGCACCTCCCTCAACCATGCTGCTTCCAACATCCAAAGCTTCTGAAGCTCGTCTACAGCAAATTATATCACCTCCTCAGATTTCGGCTCCACTCAGACCTCCATCCCCGCCGCCGCTGCTCCCGTTGTCCACTGCTGCCGCAAACCATCCAACCAATCATCAACAACAACAAATTATTCCACCACCTCACAAACACCCGATGGTTACGAGAACGCAAACAGGTTCCATCAAACCTCCTCGACGCCTCAATCTGCTCACCCTCCGCTCTTCTTCACCTGGACCCGATCCCACTAGCTTTAAGGATGCCTCTAAGCATCATGAATGGCGTCAAGCCATGGCAGAGGAATTCACCGCTCTACAACAACAGGGCACATGGCAACTGGTGCCACCTCCTCTCAAAGCACCTATACTGGGATGTAAGTGGACATTTCGGAAGAAGTTCAACTCGGATGGGTCCATTGCACGGTTCAAAGCGCGCCTCGTAGCTCAGGGAAATCAACAAGAACAAGGCATCGACTTCGGCGAGACATTCAGTCCGGTAGCTAAGCTACCCACCATCCGCGTGCTCTTTACCATAGCGCTCTCTCACGGATGGCCAGTACAGCAGTTGGATGTCTCGAATGCGTTTCTTCATGGCCTCCTCACTGACACAGTATACATGTCTCAGCCACGCGGTTTCGTCGACCACAACTATCCGAATTACGTCTGCCGCCTCCAAAAATCAATTTATGGCCTCCGTCAGGCACCACGTCAGTGGTATACCACATTCACACAGTTTTTGCTTACAATTGGCTTCGAATACAGCAAAGCCGATCCTTCTCAGCTCACGCTTCATCAAAATCAGACAAGGATCTTTCTCCTCGTATACGTTGACGACATCCTCGTCACGGGTAATAACGATGAAGCCATTTCCACCGTTCTAACCAAACTTCACTCCAAATTCAACATGAAGAACCTTGGACCAGCTCACCATTTCCTCGGTATCAAAATCCAATCTCTCAAAGATAAGTATTTCTTATCCCAATCTTCCTACGCTTTATCTATTTTGAACAGTGTCAACTTAGCTGACTGCAACCCGCTCTCTAATCCGTCCTGCACCAAACTACTTGATCAGGTACCCGAAGATGTCACTCTCTCCGAACCAAGCACTTACAGACGCATCACAGGCTCACTACAGTACCTTACTCTCACTCGTCCCGACATTGCCTATGCCGTCAATGTGCTATCTCAACATATGCATGATCCCTCCTCACAACACGTCTATCTCCTCAAACGCCTGCTTCGCTACCTCAAAGGGACACTTACATTCGGTCTACCGATCCTCAAAGCTCCGCTCACCATGACTACCTATTCCGACGCCGACTGGGCTAGTGATCCGACCACAAGAAAATCTACAACTGGACATTGTACCTTTCTCGGGGATACTCTCATTTCGTGGGTGGTCAAGAAACAGACCACCGTCGCCAGGTCTTCCACTGAATCTGAGTATCGGGCGCTCGCGGCTGCCACTGCGGACACAATCTGGCTGAAACGACTGCTCAATGACTTCTCCATTCCTCATTCTCGACCAATTGATCTGTTTTGCGACAACATGTCCGCCATCGCCCTCGCTCACAATCCGGTGTTTCACGCACGGACGAAGCATATCGAGATCGATCACCGCTTCCTTCGTGATCACATTCAGAATCAGGCGATCCGCCTTCTTCCCGTCAGCACAACATATCAGCTCGCCGATCTTCTTACCAAGCCACTGTCCACACCCCGATTCAAGGAACTTCGCTCCAAACTGACAGATCAAGATGAACAATCCGTTTGACAGGGGATATTAGAGTAGCTAATCATGTAGTTTATATACTAATACCGGCAGTTACTTCGCTGTTTAAACTTTCTCCAATTAGCTTCTCACACGTGTACCTACACACTCACTTTATTCACCTATATATTCCTACCTGTACCTATTACTTGACAAGGCAATGATAACAATTCATTTCTATCCTCTGCTACTGTTCTTCTTCCTCACCTCCGATGAGCTGCGTAGAGATTAATCTTGATTCTTAGTTTCTACAATAGTTATGTGGTTTTCTGGTTTCAGGTATACAGTTGGATGTCACAGCAGCACTGGTTCCATTTCGATTTTGCTCTTGCAACCAAACTGGCGGATTATCTGGGCAAGGACCGAAAATTCACAAAATGTCGAGAGATATTTGATGCCATGATCAAGCAAGGTCGGGTTCCCGCTGAATCGACATTTCATATCCTCACAGTTGCTTATCTCAGTTCACCGATTGAAGGATGCATCGAGGAGGCGTGTTTCATCTACAACAAAATGATCCAGTTAGGTGGGTATAGGCCAAGGCTCAGCTTGCACAATTCTCTTTTCCGAGCCCTCTTGGGCCAGCCTAGAAGGGTTTCAAAACATCAGCTCAAGCAAGCTGAATTCATTTATCACAATCTGATAACATGTGATCTTGATGTACAAAAGGATATCTATGCTGGGCTTATCTGGTTGCATAGTTATCAGGAGTCAATTGACCGAGAGAGGATTGATGCCCTGCGGGGTGAGATGAAAAGTGCAGGAATTGAGGAGGGCAAAGATTTGCTGATCTCAATCTTGAGGGCCTGCTCAAAGCTCGGTGATGTTGAGGAGGCAGAGAAAATATGGCTCAAGCTGCTTGCATCTGAATATGCACTCCCTTCTCAAGCCTTTGTCTACCGGATGGAGCTCTATTCCAAGGCGGATGATCCTATGAAATCACTCGAAATATTCAAGGATATGAAGAAAGGAGCCATGCCCGTTACTGTCAGTGCTTACCACAAAATCATTCAAGTCATGACAAAGGCCAATGAACTTGATATTGCAGAGACTCTTGTGGATGAACTTGCTGAAAGCGGTTTGAAGCCACTTAATCCTGCCTTTCATGATCTAATGAGTCTGTACTTGAAACGAGGATTGCACAATAAATTGGAAATGTCATTCTCTAAATGTCTTACAAGGTGCCATCCCAATAGAAGTATTTATGGCATATACTTGGAATCACTTGTAATGGTTAATGACCTTGAGAAGGCTGAGCAAATTTTTAATGAAATGCAAACGAATGGGACAATTGGTGCTAGCGGCCATTCATGCAATGTAATTTTACGTGGGTATTTAGCTGCAGATGATTATGAAAAGGGTGTGAAGGTATATAATATAATGCGTCTGAAAAAATACGATGTAGAGCCAGATTCTATAGAAAAGATGGAGCGGTTTCTTGACCATAATAAAAAAATAGTTAGGAAATCTATCAGTTTGAAACTCGATGAAGAACAGCGTGAGATCTTGATTGGTTTGCTGCTAGGAGGGGCTGAAATAGTCTTGGATGAAAATAAGAAGAAGCATTCAATTCTATTCAAATTCAATGCAAGATCTGATATCCATTCTGCATTGAGAATGCACATACATGAAAGATTTTATGAGTGGTTAACTCCTAGTAGATCAACTGATGACCATGAGATACCTTACCAATTTTCAACAATAGCTCACCCTTACTTCAGCTTCTTTGCTAACCAATTCTGGTATAAAGATCGGCCTATGATTCCGAAGCTCATCCATCGATGGCTATCAGTTCGAGTATTAGCATATTGGTATATGTATGGTGGGTTCAAAACCTCAGCAGAAGATATATTACTTAAGCTAAGGGGTGCAAAACGTGAAGATATTGACAAAATTTTAAAGAAACTTCAGGGGAAAGACATAGCCACGAAGGTGAAGAAGAAGGGAAGATTTTTCTGGATAGGTTTTCAAGGAACCGATGCAGTTCGGTTCTGGAATCTGATAGAACCTTTTCTCCTACAAAATGTGAAAGATCTACTGATGCCAAATAATGATGCCATTGGAAGTGATGATGGAGATGTTCTTAATAAGAGATCTGATTCTGATGTGCACAAATCTGGTGAAGACTTGACGTGATCTTCTTATAGTTATGTATATTCCTTTTTAAATTTGAGATAAATCATTTTTCCTTCTCTCATTTCAGTACTAACTACAACATGTTATATTTTGTAAATTAATTTGTCTTGTCAGAAGAAAATGTTTTATTTGTTTTCACATCTATGTGCTCATTGTAATTTTGATTTGCCTAAGTTTTTGATACCTGATATTTTTATGAACTGGCCTGATCACTGAAAGAAACTTGAGATGAAACTATTATTGAGTTCATCAATGGAATGAATTTCACGTACTTACCTGCTTAGAGGTGTTGACTTTCTGGTTGATAGAATAGGAGAGGACCACTGTGATACACTGGACGTGAGGATTGTATATTCTAAATAATAGCTCTGAAACTCACACAAACTAAATGTTTACAATTCTCAAACTCACACAAACTTTATTAAGAAGTTATGTTTCTTTTCCTCTACGTTTCTGTTCACTTCAAAGCTTTTGCTTCTGTTACTTGAAAAAATTAATTCATGTTCATGCAAGCACACATGCAAAATATCTCCATTTTGAATTTTGATGTAAAGTACATGATCATATGGACATTTAGATCTTTTTTTTCTTCTTGGAGGCATTTGTCAATTGACGACACTTAATTTGCATTCGAAATTTTGTCATGCAAATTAAAGTTTTATAAACTCAAACTTATATGTTACAAAATACAAATATTAAATTACTCGTCATCCTGTTGTTCACCTTGTCGAGACTAGGAACTTTTATTTGGTCCAGTGCAAGGACCTAGAGGAAGATTCGGTTTTGCCTCAAAAAGTGCAAATACCGAGTTTTTTGAAAGAAAAAACTCGGTATTTGCACTTTTTGACCTATTTTTGCCTAAAACCGAACCTTCCTCTACATCCAGTGAAAGGACCTAATAATTGCTCCGAGACTAGAGACCGCAAAGCCTCTTCGATCGTCGATGTCGTCTAATGCATTTAATCCAGTGTTGCTTGCTGCTTTGAAGCGTGAGGTTTGAAGTGGATTAGGAAAGATGCTGACGCCTACTCTGTCTTCTCACTTATCAACAATCAACCACTGCCACCATTCCAAGCTAACTGTTCCAGTACTTGAAGTAGGTGTGGTGTCTTCACGCTAACTAATCAATTTTGCCTACCTAACAATCCCTTTAATTCCGTCTCCATGCAATTGCTGCATATATAATCTAATCAAACAAAGAGTTTTCTGCACCAAACAAATATATATATGTTATAATTTTGATTAAAATAGAGATAAAGAAATACTTGTTATAATCACGGCAAACAAAATGCTGAAAACCATCAAGTGAACTGAACTTCTAATTTGATGTTTTATCTGCGTGGATATTTAGAAAAAGAAAACAGAGAATGTGACATGAATGTTTGTGAATGCATCCAGATAGAAGAATTATGGGTTAATCAAAACTACCATTCGAACGGCAAATATAACGGTGAGGACCGGCCCGGCAATCTTTTTTGTGAAACCAAAGGAATAAAGGATACGGATATATATTCATGTTCATGTTCATGTAAGCGGTCGATGATGATCGGATAATATAGAAGGATGGAGGTGGCCGCACAGAGGCGGAAGGTGTCAGTTTGGGCCAAATCAACGATCGACAGAACGGGAGCAATCTCTGAGATGTGATTTGGTCAGATTGAGCAAGCAAAGACTGTTGATTTTTGTTCTAGATCAGTGTTGAGCCGGATTGGTGCAAATCCGGCGTTATAAGGCGGCTGCAATTTGGTGGTGGCAATGAGATCCGGTGGAGCCATGGATACATCCATCTCGATGGCGGAGAAGACTTAAATCTATCAGGTGGTTACACATCCCGTTAAAATTGATGTGATGAAATTTGACGACAATGGAAACTTTGATATGTGACGATGTGAGGTGATGGATGCATTGTGGTATCTAAATCTTGAGAAAGTAATGGATGGCGAGGAACATCTTGAGGAGATTTCAGAGAGAGGTTGGCTAAAGATGAATATGAGTGCTTGTGGTTTGATCAGAAATTGTTTATCTCAGAAGATCAAGTATGAGGTGATAATGGAGACTTCTACTGTGAAACTGTGGAAGATTTTGGAGATTAAGTAATTGACAAAGAGAGTGAAGAATCGTCTCCATATGAAATGCCTGTTCTACATATTTTAGATAGGACATGTGATTACTATTGATAACATTTGAATAATTTCACAAAGTTGTTGGCAGATCTTTTGAATTTGGATGAGGAGGCTGGAGATGAAGATATGACACTCATTTTATTGAAGTCGCTCCCGCATGCATGAGTATGAAAACTACACGATGATACTGAACTACGTGAAGATACTCATTGGAAGGAGGATTTGAACTATGGTGAGATGACTACTGCGTTGCTGAATCACGAGTTCTGATGTTGTGATAAGGAATTTGCAAAGATGAATTCCGTAGAGGATCTCACACTCCAACGTGAAAGATCTGAAAAACAAAAGAATAAAAAGGACGACAACAATAAGCAATGCAAGTCTTGTGGGCTCAGTCTTGAGAAGAATCAGTGTACTATATGTTTAGAAACTAGTCATTGGAAGAAATATTGCTTGAAGCTGAAGGAAAAAGAAAATAAAGTTTTCAATTGAGGCTAAGGAAAACCTTAAGCGTGGATGAGCGTGACGAAGACTCAGGTGCATCATTATTTGTAATTACTCAAAGTTTGTATATAGATGTTTCATGCTGGATTCTGGATACTGGTGCTACCTATCACTTTTGTCTTAGTACAGAGTAGTTCAAACTAGCAGGGAGTTTGATAGTGTTGTTGTGTTCATGGGAAATGATCAAACTTATCGTACAATTTGTGTAGGGATCATCGCATCAGAATGCATGATGATACTATGAGAGAGCTTACTGATGTGAGAAACGTTCCAGAAAAAGTTTGTTGTCTGTTGGGGCTTTAGAGACCAAAGTCTACATGATAGTTATTGAGGCAAGAGTTCTGAAGACATATTACGGAGCATTGATTTTTTTGAAAGAAGTTTTTCATCATAATATTTACTACCTTCAGGATAAAAGGGTGATTAGAATGGATGTTGTTGCTGATAATTCTTCCGGTGTCACTACGTTGTGGCATATGTGGCTATCTTATGCTGAAGATGCTTCTCTTATGAATTTGGTGAAGAAATGACTAATTAAAAGAGAAAGTACTTGCAAGCTCAACTTTTATTAATATTGTGTGTTTGATAAGAAGACATGGGTATCCTTTGATACTGCCATCCACAATATAAATGATATTATAGAGTATGTTCGCACAAATGTTTGGGGCTTAATGGAGACATCATCATTCGACAACGACGATACTTTATCTCTTTTATTGACAATTACTTCTACCCATGCATTTGATCAGTTGTATATCAGGAGGTAGAATACGATGTTGATGATGAGATTCCAATTTAAGAATCTATTGCAAGAAATAGGTTCAGGCGCCAAAATATCCCAAAACCAACTTAATTGAGGGACCACATTACATTTGCACTTTCATCAACAGAGGTTGAAATTTCTAGTCACTATAAGGAAGCAATTGGCAATCTTGAAGATAATTTGTGGAAAAGAACTATGGCTGAAGAGATGGAGTTTCTTCAGGAGAATACTACTTAGAGGTTGGTGAAGCTTCCTCTAGGAAGGAAAGCCATTTGGTGCAAATGGTTGTGTGCAAAGAAGAAATGATCTAATGATGCTAATGTGCGGTACAAGGCTAGGTGGGTGGAAAAAGGCTCTGATGAGGTGTTTTCCCCAGTGATTAAGCATCTCTTGACACTTGTAGCACACAATGGTATGATTTTGAAGCAGCTTGATCTAAACATTGCACAAGCAGTTGGCGTTGTGAGCAGGTTCATACATGATTTAGGAAGGAGTCATTCGCAAGTTGTGAAGAGTAGCCTGAGATTTATGAATAGTACAATTGATACAAGTTTGGTATTGTAGAGGTAGTCAACACGACACTGGTACAAGACTCATGACTGATTGTCCACTTGTTATGAATAACTACGTTTGACGTGATCCCTTGGGAGGGGGGATAGGTAGGCAACTATCTGAGTATAGTCATTTTTTATATTGGAGCTTGGCTTGTTACCTTCCATTTTCTAAAGTGAAAAATGAGGTAGATATTGTTGATTTGGAAGGTTTTAATGGCTCATTAATATAATTGATTAGGGAGTTAATTATTTCCCTAATTAGGTTATTTGATTGGAGATTCGATTGTGGATTGGATTAGAGAATTTTTCCTTATTTTGTTTACCTTAAATCTATAAATTGAGGAGCAAGAGTTGTTGTGGAAGCATGAGAGCTAGATAGAACTAAATTGTAATCCTTCTTTCTTCAATATAGAGAACCATGTAAATCACCGAATTTTTTGCATTGATTGTTTGATTTTTTATTTTTTTTTCCATTGTGTTTGCACAACAAACAAAGCTAGACAGAGTTTGAGTTTTGTTTTAACTAGTTAATAGTTTGTAATTAACTAAGATGTAATTGGTCAATTTATAAAAAGGTGTATGTTTTAAGTTTAAATTAGCTAAAGTAGCATGTCAATAAAATAATTTAAAAATGAGCAAATACGGAACTTAATTATACGATTTCAATAGAAACTGTAACTTCATTATCTGATTTCTAAAATCGGATCTTCATTATCTGGTTTCTATTGAAACCGGTACTATATTCACCGATTTTAATTAAAAATTTATTTTTCTTGAATACTTAAAAAAAATCAATCAGATTTTTTCTTAAAAATGATTACAATTTTAGTTTTTTATTTATTTATTTACACTGTTACAGTGTTTTAATTTTTTGATAGATTATAACTTATTAGTAAATTTAGATAAACTTAATTTTACTTATTTATTAATTTTTTTATAAAAAAATTAAATATATTTAATTAAAAATTAATGAATAAAAAATAAATTATCAAACAATAATTTTATTTAGAAATATTAATAATAAAATAATAATGAAATATTTAAAATAAATTAAATACATTTTAAAAATTTATATTAAATATTTCATATATCTAATATTGTAAAAGAAATTAAATTAAAAAAAAAAGTTTTTATTAATTGATATCACTAAATTTTATTTTTAAACAGTTTTTTTTATTAATTGAAATAACTTAAACTGAAATTTTTTATTAATTGTTATAACAAAATTTTTTATAATTAAACTTAAAACTGGTTCTTTTTTATAAATTGGCCGACGTAATTTTGGTCGTCATACTTAATCAATCGTTTACGAAATAAGAAGCTAGGCGAGCCATTAGCCAAAACAGCTGAAAGCAACCAAGAAAAAGCAAAGCAGAAGAAAATAAAGAGTGCATACATATATGTATATATGTGTGTGCGTTGGGTAGTTTGGGTGGAGCAGTTAGGATAGAATGAAGAATTAATATTGGATTCGTTAGACCGACGGCGATCATGCATAAAAGTCTTCGTGCTATTATGTCCTTCCTCCTCCTCCTCCTCAGTTCATATCCAACCCCAGCAATCTCCTCGATATACAAGAGATCAATCGATGCCGGCGCCGCGGAGACCATGGAAGCCCTTCACCGCCCGCAGTTGCTGCACAGTCGACAACCGCTTAGTACTCGGAAACCTCAGCCTTAACTTGAGCAGGTGCCGTCCAACACGCCCCGATTTCTCCAAGAAGGTGGCGGAGCCGCCGTCTTTCCGCCGCATCTCCATCTCAGACCTAAGCAGCTCGTCTTCGGCGAGGTTCAACGAGGAGTTTGCGCGTGCGTTTGGAGCCGGGCTATACGCCTTCCAGCTGAGCGAGCTGAAAGCCATAACGCACGACTTCTCAAACAGCTACCTTCTTGGTGAGGGAGGGTTCGGCACCGTGCACAAAGGCTACTTGGATGATAGGATGCGGCCTGGTCTAAAAGCGCAGGCCGTCGCCGTTAAGCTTCTTGACATAGAGGGTCTTCAGGGTCACAGGGAGTGGCTTGTGAGAGAACAATTAATATTTCCCCTATACATGCATTAATCTTTCCTTTTGATGAAATGCCTGCCGGTGTTAATATTCTCATTCCTATATATGCCTACTGTTGCATTGGTTCGGATGAGCATTAATTTATTAATGATGCTGGTGTAGGCGGAGGTGATATTTCTCGGGCACCTGAGACACCCTCATTTAGTGAAGCTGATAGGTTATTGCTGCGAAGATGAAGAGAGACTTTTGGTCTACGAATTCATGCCACGTGGCAGTCTGGAGAACCATCTCTTTAAGAGTAAGTTGCATGCTGATTTGGTCACCCATCCCCATCCGGATGCAACGAGAGAATGAAGAATACGTAATAATGTATTTGCTGCATGTTTTATATATTTAAGAATAGGAATATCAGTGTCAGTACTGTCATGGGGAACAAGGATGAAGATTGCCACCGGAGCTGCAAGAGGGCTTGCTTTCCTTCACGGCGCGGAGAAGCCCATCATTTATCGCGACTTCAAGACATCCAACATCCTTCTCGACTCTGTCTGTGATCTTCCAATTCCATCTTCTAATTCGTCGTCCTCTCCTGTATGGCTAAATGTATACAGTAATATTGCGCGCAGGACTTCAGTGCTAAGCTGTCGGACTTTGGGCTCGCTAAGATGGGGCCTTCGGGTGAAGAGACGCACGTGAGCACTCGGGTGATGGGGACACAGGGTTACGCCGCGCCTGAATACGTGATGACAGGCCACCTGACAACTAAGAACGACGTCTACAGCTTCGGCGTGGTGCTTCTAGAGCTTTTGACGGGGCGCCGATCGGTCGACGAGTCGCGGCCAAAGAAGGAGGAGAAGCTGGTGGAATGGTCCGAGCCCTACCTGAGGAACAGCCGGAAGCTGCGCTGCATCATGGATCCAAAGCTTGCCGGTCACTACTCTTTCAGGTGCGCAAGGGAGGCTGCTGCTCTCGCTCTGCGCTGCATCAGCCCCCACCCAAAGGACCGCCCCAAGATGTCCGAGGTTGTTACTGTTCTCCAAGGCCTACGCAGCAGCTTCAGGGAGAAAACGTCATGATATCTATATCTGGCTCGGATCGACGACTGTAGATGGTCCTGCCTGCGTATTTCGTTAATTAAGTACCGCTGATCTGTTATTTATATGCCTAATTACTGTTTTCAACTGTGAATTGCTTTGTAATTAATGTATAACTAAATAAACAAACAGGCGATTACCGTAGGAGATGCTCTGTTTCGGTCATTGCCCTTACTTAATTACTTGCTCAAACTGAATAAAAAATTGATTCACACCTAAAAGACTGATAAACAAACTGACCAATCTAAAGAGAAGCAAATTCCCAAACATAACATGCACCTGAGAAAATTTCTGTTAGAAATTATCTATAAAATTCCTCATAACGGCACGGGAGGAGAAATTTCTGGGATATAAATCGAGTGCATATCTTGAAGATAACAACATATTTTTGTAGTTGTATTTTACATTAGTACAAAACAGGAATTTCGAGAGCAAGCACATTATAAGCAAAGTAATAAAATAGCTCTCTACATCATTCCAGAGAATTAAGAAATGGTCTCTCTATATAAATGAATATAGTACTATAGTGGTCAAAACATGTTAGTGCAGGAGGTGCTCGACATCAAATAGTTATAGTGAAAAAGGCTCTGACAAAGAATATTTGTAGTACTAAGATAGTGGGGCTGGAAGCCGGCCGTTCACCTTTTGCATGTAACTTATCGTCATGCATGGTCTTCATATCATTTATCATTCCTCCTCAAGTTAGCAATGTGTTCATGAATTGTTAACTTGCATTGTAAGTGATCAAACAAAGTGGCACAAAGAGATTTAGTAAAAATATATGCATGTTGATCTTGAGAATGAAGCAATGTGATAGACGTTGATGTGTTGAAGTTTGATGTATTCATGAACGAAGTGAAAATTAATTTCAATATGTTTTGTACGAGCATGAAATACTAAATTATTGATTAAGGCAATAGAAGAGTCGGTGCCACAAAACAAAGGGGTGGATAGTGAGATTAAAATTTCTTTAGTAAACGTCTCAACCAAATAATGTCAGTAGCCGTTATAGCCATGGGCAGATTTAAGGGGGGGCCTGGGGGGAGCCCCCGGCCCCCCCCCCCCCCCAAAAAAAAAAAATATATCATTTTACACCATGCTCATATTGGCTCTCACCCTCTCTTTCCATCTCTTTTTTACTTTTTCTCTCTACTCTCTCTCTCTCACTCTCTCTTGATATTTTGTTTTTTAGCCCCTAGCTCTCTCTCTCTCCTCTCTCTCTCTCTCTCTCTCTCCATTAGGAATGACTAATGAGACTATTTTTCCCTCTCCATCTTTACATTACTATTTTTTTATTAAAAATTTCATCAAATTTTTTTATTACTTTAAAAACTCGAACATCAAGTTTTTATGAGATATACGTAATTAAAGCCAACAAATTACATTAGAGAGGAGAATTCTAATATTTAAATTTAAATCAAATAGCTTAAAATATATTTATTATAGATTTTTATATATTTTGAATATACTTTTATAATAATAAGATGTAATTTTTTTTATATATTTATTGCTCTTAAAATATTTTTTAGTTATATTTTTATTTAAATTAAATATGAAATATACAGTAGAAGAGTAGTTGAAATATAATTAGTATGATAATATATAGTTTAAATAAATTTGTGTTGAAATTAATTCAAATGATCATGATAGTAATTTTTTTTTCATTTTCATAAAATTTATCTTCTTATAATTAAAAATAATAATAAAAAAATAAAACCATAATGTAAATTGCAAAATAAAATGAAAAAGCTTGAGGGTATTTTTAAAGTCAAAATTTTGTGCCCCTACATTTAAAAAATCATAGCTTCATCACTAGTTGTAGCTAATGCATGATACTCAGCTTCGATAGATGAACGAGCGAACATTATTTATTTTTTAACACAGCAGGAGACCAACGTAGTACTTAGGTAGGCACAATAGCCAGTAATGGAGCGACTATCTATTGAATCAACAACCCAATCAGATTCAGAGTAGGCATAAAGTTCAAGGGATGAAGTAGAAATAGGAAGTCCAATGTGTAGCGTGCCACGAATATACCAAGGTTGCGTTTCAACAATTGAAAATGAATAACATATGGAGTATGCATCCGCTGGCATAAATGATTAACAACAAATATGATGTTCGGTTGAATGGTTGTAAGATATTGTAAGGAACTAACAAGTTGCCAAAATAATTCAAGTTGAACTAATGGTTCAAAATCAACAATAATAATGGGCAATTTGATTGGCAATGGTGTGTGTATAGGGTTGCAATCTTTCATACCAAACTTTACAAATAAATATATAGCAGAGCGCATCTGATTCAAATGAAGACTTATAGCTGTTTGTGTAACCTAGATGCCTAAACGCTGAGAAACTAAGCCAAGATTACACAATATTAGAAACCTGTCATGAAGGTTTTGGAGTAGTTTTGTAAAAACTATCTCATCATTGCCAGTGAGAAGAATGTCATCGACATAAATGATGTAGTAGTGCTTTACTTGTGATGCTCCAGAATCTATATTAGAAGAATTATTCTTTTATACTTTAAATAAACAATAACCAGAGCTATCTAATATTTATCATCTATTAGTAATAAACAGTCTTAGATTTGGAGGCCGTGGTGCGATTTTTGTCCATCAGGCTAGTTGGGAAATTTGCTCTTCTCGCTGTAATACCTTATTTCTGATTTCAAAGATTTTTGTGTATTTGATATTTTTCCTATCAAATTTGTGTTTTCATTACAAAAAAATGTGAATAATTTTGTATTGATAAAACGTACTTTCACCACATAACTTTAGAGATCATGATTATGAGCATTTTGCGTATTTATTTGAGATTTTTTACTGGATGATTTTGAAAATACAATGATTTTTGTCTTACCCAAAATTTATTTTGACATCTAAAAATAGTGATGTAGCACAATAAAAGTTTTAAATAATCCTTTTATACATTTTCTATTAATTTGATAATTTTATAAAAATATATATTTTTGACTAAATGGATTCTTTATTAACTACCAATATGATATTTTATCATCTTTTAAATTAAGCTCAATTATGCAATATTTATTGCACTACATTAAAAATAGATGTGAATATATGCTTGAGTAATAGCTGGTCGCTATTACTGTTATAGTATTGTGATAATAATATGCATTTGTGAAACAAACAAGTAAAGGCCAATTGACCCGTTGATTGGAAACTGATTAACCTGTATATGATGGTGGGCCAATAGGCTTTTCTTTAAATACTATTATTTGGTATTGTCCTCTACCAATTCATGCGATATACTAATTTTGAGTTATAAGGAGATCATTACTATGTCGACGGACAAAGAGTGATGACTTTGTTAATTTACTGAGTCAATAGTTTACTAACACTGAAAAATACCATGATAGCTAAGAATTCTTACTTGTTTAGTGTGACTACTGAAATATATATTTTTGAGGCATTGTTCTTATTATTGTACAAATTTATTAATAATGCACATATTTATTGTTATTGTATTATTTTATTACTCCTGTCACAAGATTTTTACTGTTATTGATATATATACTAATACTATTTGTTACTATTGATTTAATATACTGATATTAAGCATGTGATATATTGAGCATGTGCTATAGAATGCGTTGATAACATGTGTATATTTTCATATGATTTTACTACATTGATTTGATTTTGACAGTCTTTATTTTGATTTGATGTTTTAAATTATAGAATATATTTTATTATTTATTACTGATAGATGATCTTAGAAAGTTCTGATTGTTGTTTATTAAAAGATTAAAATGATAATTCTTTTAATTTAGATTTTAAAACATCACATTACTGAAGCATGATGATAAAAGCAAAATGAAGGATAAGTTGAGCTAACTAAGAAGTCATAATGCAAAAGATGAGTTGTCAATATGGAGAACCATTGATGAGGATCTTGCTTAAGATCATAAATGACTTTCTTTAAAAGGCATATATCATTAGGTAGTTGAGAATTTTAAAAATTGGGTGGTTACATCATGTAAAATATTTCATCTAGCTTGACATGGAGAAAGACATAGATACATCAGGTTGTAAAATAGTAGACTTATATACAGTAGCCACAATAAAGAAGATACATATGGTTGAGAATTTTTCAAGCAGACTAAAGGTATCATAGCAGTATAATCCAAATTTTGTTTAAAGCCTTGCGCAACCAAATATGCTTTATACCGAGTAAGTGAGCCATCATAATTATATTTTGTTTTAAATAACCATTTGCAACCTATAATATTTTTATCACTTGTATAAGAAACAAGAGTCTAAGTAACTTGTTTATGTAAGGTTTCAAATTATGTATACATAGAAAATCTCTAAATATGACGTTTGATAGTTTGAGATTAGGAGGTAAGTAATGTTGGAATGATATCATGCTATAGATCAAATAGTGGTTTGTAACATAATGTTTCAGTTAAGAAACATGTTATCATAGGTTGGTCAGGATTCTTCAGTTTTTATTCTTTTTATTTTTCTTTCATACTCAAGACATAATAGTTATGATATGATTGTATAGATCATGAGTATTATATTTAATTTTTGAGAATAAATACAGATATGTACATTGATATTTTGAATTACATAATCTATTTTGCTATTTATTACTGATAGATGATATTAGATAGCTATGATTGTTATTTATCAAAAGATAAAAATATATTTCTTCTAAATTTGATTCTAAGGCATCACAGAAGCTGCAGGTGAAGGGAGAGTGGATGAGAAAGTTGGTTCGGAGGTGGCTGCTATATGAGAAGTTTTAGAATAAATTCTTACACAATTTATGTTGCTAAGATAGAGGGTGAGTGTGTAGAAGGGATAAATAGAAATGGTGATTGAGTAAAGGAAGGACTAGTAGAATGGGAGGTAGATTTTGTATTTTGAAATTGAAAGATAGGTTCAAAGAATTGAACATGACGAGAGATATAGATATGACTTGTGGCTAAGTTTAAGCATTTGTAGCCTTTGTAGAGTTTGCATAACCAAGAAAGTTACATGATTGAGACCTTGGATGAAGTTTATGACACTATGGAGCATGAAGATAAGGATAACACAAGCAACCAAATACTCTTAGGTGGGTGATGACATAATAGTTCATAGGGAGAGAGGTTCTGTGTTGTTTTAGAGGGAAGCTTATTGATAAGATATGTAACAATCAATAGGGCTTCAATATAGAAATGAGTGGGTAGGTTAGCATTGAACTATAAGGCATGAACTGTTTCAATGAGATGGTGAGGTATGTGCTCAGCTATACCATATTGTTGAAGAGTGTATGAACAAATGATTTAGTGAATAATGCCAAATTGTTGTAGTTTCTTTTAAAAATTATTGTTAACATATTAACCTCCACCATGAGATCATATAATTTTTATAGGTGTTTGAAATTGAGTCTAAACCAATAATTTAAATTGCTAAAAATGTAGGGAATGTTTAAGCTTTGATGAGAAGAGAATACATCTAACAATAACATGTAAGATCATCCACAAATAGAAGATAATATTTATAAAATTGCATAGATAAGGTAGGGAATGGTCCCCATACATAATTATGAATGAGTTCTAAACATTTAGTACTTTTAGGAATCGACAAAGAGAAAGATAATCTATGACTTTTGGCTTGAGCACATGTCAAATAGTGAAAACTGGTAGAGGATAACTTGCTGGAAGGAAGCATAACTGTAAATAAATGCTGAGTGGAAGGAGACGGTTGTTCAAGATGTTGGTGCCATTGATGAGAAGATGATTGCATGGGATGAAGAGCAACATATGTTGGAGTACTTGACTATGAATGAGAGCATGAGCAGAGAGATTAATGGGGTACATACTGTGAAGATTGGGGCCTTGGAGAAGAATCTTGTTGGTCTTGAAATCTTTGATTATGAAACCACAAGTATCCAAATAGATAGATTAGGAATGTTAGCAGTTAATTTATGAACCAAGAGAAGGTTATGAAAGAGTTTAGGTACATGTAAAGCGTGGGGAAGAAGAATCTTATGGGAAGGAGTATGAAGTGTACCCTAATCAGAATGAATTATGGGCAATAATTGACCATTGCCAACTTGGATGTGTGGTGAACCTTTGTAAGTCTGAGGGGATTGTAGCTACGAATGGTTGGAGGTGAGATGAGAAGTTGCACATGGTCAAGAAACCAATTTGTTGTGGTAGAAGTATCTTGAGAAATATTAGCTTGCTGAGAAGGTTGGTACGATGAATCTGTTCAATGCTAGTAGTGAAGTGCTGAATGACCTGGTTTGCTATATATATGACATTCAACATAGGTGCAATTTTGATCACCTCAACGAGCTCGGAGTTGTGTAGAGCGACCTCCACGAGTATAAGCAGAGGAAGAATGACCTCTAATAATGGAGACAGTTGAGTAACGACTGCAGGAATGACCACGAAATTCTTGAAGAGCTAAAGCTGGACCAGCAATTCCAATAGTGAACAATTCACCAATAGTAGCAACAGTTATATTGAGCTCTTTACTACAAAGAAGAGCATAAAAGTCTTCTAAGCTTATGGGAAGTAGCTTGGTTCGAATGAAAGTTTTAAATGCATTATTGTTAGGAGGTAAGTCATTTAACGTATAGATGATGATATCTCATGAATCAATAACAGAGCCAGCTGTAGTTATAACATCTACTCTTTGTTTCATCTCAGAGAGATATTGAACAATGGATTTGTCTTTCATTTGAAGTTGATATAGGTTATTCTTCAGTTGAAGTATACAAGAACAGTCGGTAGTTGCAAGCACCATTCTATAGTCATCCATATTTCATGATAGGTATCTAGATTGAGAACATATGGAAGTAAGGATGGGGAAATAGTTGAGTAAAGCGCTACAACAAGATTTTGATCAATAATCATCCAAGTTTGATAATGAGGATTAATGCTGACAAATCCATCAACCGAAAGGAGTTGCTTAGGTGGTTTAGAGGTAGAACCATCAATATAGCCATCAAATCCATTAATTGAGAAAAGAAGAATTTGAGCCTTCCAAATGGGGTGGTTGTCTGTACTGAGTTGAATGCTGAGTACAACTTTGACATTTGACATAAGAAAATTGAGCTGAGGGGGTATTGATGTCTCGTTTATCTTGATCGGAATTGGCTGAGATGTTGAGGAAGCAGAGGAATCTATACCGAGAGCAATAGAGATAAGGAGGAGGAAAGAAAACACAACACTAGCGAAAGACTCTGATACCATGAAGATAACTACAAATTTCTATAGTTGTATTTTACATTAGCACAAAACATGAATTTGGAATAGAAAGAACAATATAAGTAAAATAATAAAATGGTTTTCCATATCATTCCAAAGAATTACAATATAAATGCATATAGTACTATGGTGATCAGAATTTGTTAGAAATCAATGACGCTGATTGCAGGGGGTGCAAGACATCCAATGGATAGTGGAGCTGGAAGCCGACAAATTACCTTTTGCAATTAACTTATCATGTTATGCATATCATTTATCATATATGTATTAAAAAAATATAAAGAGTTCTAATTCATCATTGTTATATATATGAAAAAAGTTGTTCGATAAAGTATGGATCTTGAAATAATTGAGTATTAAAATTAAAAATTTTAAAATCAAATATAGAATCATTCTAACTCTATTTTCAATAAACCTATAATTAATACATATATTCATTCAAATGAATATAAAAAGCATAAGATCATCAAATTTTAAAGTTACTAATACACTCAAATGCTAAAAAATATCAAATATTTAAAAGAATCATTTGAGGCCATTTGATAGAGTGTTTATAATTTTGACAAAAATAATCAAAAGCATTACTAGAATCTATAAACTGATCTTCATTCCATACTTATAGTTAGGCATTGAGTAGACATAATTTTTTATTTGAAGCATCTTAAAAATTTACCCATTGATTAATGTCAATGAGCGTCATTGCTCACTCACCCTAGACAAACACCAAAAATCAATGATATATGTCATAAGTGATCATCGTCACAATTTTTAAAATAAAATTGGCACCGCCGCTCGTACTCTTCGACACCGGTCTTTATCATCACCTAATCATTATACTTGTTACCTCATTTTGATTCTCTATCATTTTTCACCTCCATTAAAAGATCATGCTAACAATTTAGACTTCGTAATTTCATCTTCTCTAGTTTTGAAGAAGGTGATTATAAATGAAGTAATTGTCACGTTTTTTAATATCAGCTGATCTTCTTTCCATAATTTCATCTTCTCTAGTTTATAATAAATTTTAATATCATGCTTGAGCTCAAATTCGATTAATTAGTCAACCTCAAGCTCAAGTCGAAGATGATTCAAACTCAACTTAGACTAATTTATACCTTAGTTATGGTGATCAGAATGCATGCAATTAGAAATTTAACCAATCTAGCAGCCAAATATGAGTTGAAGGATTTTTTTAATCTTGTGCTATTAGTTTAAAATTTTTATTTTAGGCAAAACATAAATAATAAATTATCGAATATATGGCTCAATAATATAATTTAAACCTAAAGAAACAATATTTTTATCAAATATTTAAAAACTAATTATATTCTTAAATTATATGAGCAAATTATTAAAAAAAAAATCATAGCCAAAAACTCTCTTTTTCTCATTCCAACTCCGATCCGTATGTTGAACCGACCAAAGAAACAAAAGAAGGGGAGGAATTGCCATGCTAGCCTTCCAAGCACCGCGGCTCCATACCCATTCGTTCTTCAGACCCAAAACCCACCGCCCCCTTATCATTGCTAATATCCTTGTCACCCATTACGAAATCAATCGGCTCATGCCAAAGAGATCCTCATCCAGAACTCTACTGCTAGGAATACCCAGAGCCGCGCCGGCACCGCATCCGCCGCCGGAAGATGCAGGCATCGACGAGAATACGCACGAAGAAGGCAAGGTCGGCCGCTCAGAGCCGCCGATCGAGCTCTCAATCCAGAGCGAGTCCAAGCCTCTCGCTGAGGATCTGCCCAAGAAGACCGGCACGATGAAGTTGGCTGCGGTGTTCGGTTTCTGGTATCTCCAAAATGTGATATTTAACATATACAACAAGAAAACCCTTAATTTGTTCCCCTACCCGTGGCTTCTGGCCTCGTTCCAGCTGTTGGTGGGATCGCTCTGGATGGCAGGACTTTGGGCGTCGCGGATCCAGCCCTACCCTCAAGTGAACCGCAAATTCTTTGTCGCCCTGCTCGGCCCTGCGCTCTTCCACACCATCGGACACATTTCCGCCTGCGTCTCCTTCTCCAAGGTCGCCGTTTCCTTCACCCACGTCATCAAGGCCTCGGAGCCCGTCTTCTCGGTCATCTTCTCCGCCCTCTTCGGCCAGTTCTACCCCATCCAAGTCTGGCTCTCCGTCGCCCCCATCGTAATTGGCTGCGCGCTCGCCGCCGTCACCGAGGTTTCCTTCAACGCCGAGGGTCTTTGGGGTGCTCTTATCAGCAATGTTGGTTTCGTGTTGCGCAACATCTATTCGAAGAAAAGCCTACAAGACTTTAAACATGTGGACGGGCTCAATCTCTACGGTTGGATCTCCATATTGTCACTCCTTTATCTTTTTCCCGTGGCTGTGCTCGTGGAAGGACGTCACTGGGTTCAGGGCTACCGAACGGCAACGGCCGCCATTGCCTCTCCATCAACGTTCTACGCTTGGGTTATACTTTCCGGCGTCTTCTACCATCTCTACAACCAGTCGTCGTATCAAGCATTGGACGCAATTAGCCCTCTCTCATTTTCGGTGGGCAACACGATGAAGAGGATTGTGGTGATTGTTGCTTCAGTGATTGCATTCAGGAATCCAATAAGGCCGCTAAATGCTCTGGGATCGGCTATTGCCATCTTGGGAACGTTCTTGTATTCTCAGGCGACTGCCACCAGCAACAGCAATAAGAACAACGAGCCTGCCAAGAAGACAAGCTGACTGGAATGAGGTGAGGAAATTATGTTCATCTTCATTTGTGGTTCTGGTCTTAGGTGATCAATCAGAACATTTTAAGATGAGAGAATAATGAAGGATCATTTAACTAGTCCTGTCTTCATTTCCTTTTAATGATAACGACCATTTTGATTATGTTTGTTTATTGAAATTCAGTAAGTTGCTTCATTCATTAGACGTAGATAATGGCACATACTTAATGCTTAAGGCTGCTTTGAAACATTCACATGTCTTAACTTTGCTAGTAATTAACAGACAAGTTATATGCATTTTTTCAGTGAGAGTGGTTAAGAGTGAGAAGATGTCTTGAGCAGGTGAGAGGAAAGAGACGAGAGAAGGCGGAGAGCAGAACCAGATGGAAAGAAGATAGTTATTCTATTATTGTGTAAAAGATGATTACAGAGAGTCTTAAATAGACAATGTAAGGTAAAGAAGTAAAAACATTCGGTACAGGTTAAGGTAAACTAATCATCCGCTAACAAAGAGTAAATAGATATTGGCTTTAGTTTTATCTCCTATAAATTTATGGTGGACAATTGAGCCATAGATGATTGAGTCATACGTGCATTGCAGCACATCCTTGAATCCCAGCCGTTGGGCCATTGAGGATTAAACTTTATTTGCATCTTCTATCGTTCTACATTAGTTCAGGCTTTTAAAATATTTGGTTGAACTAATAATTGTTTTGGATTCAAATTTATCTATGGATGACACTCAATCTTACTAGCAATCTTACATGGTGAGCTAATGGGTTGAACCAGTGTGAATGGCTAGCCTAGTGAGGAATCTTTGGTTCGCCTTGTGGAGGGGGCGAGTTCATTGGTAGGCCTAGGCGAGTAGCGCCTGTTGATCATCTTGGGAGAGTTCCGTATGAGTTTGAGGCGAGTTCTTTTGAGGGCTAGTTGCTTTCAACGACCTAATAATTGAGAGTAGGTTAGTGTGAAATTCACCAGTGTATTATATCTGCAAAGACATGCGAGTATGGAAATTGATCCTACTTTAATTTAGTATCAAAAGTCAATATTACTTAAATCTTGTCGATTTGAGTTGATTCATATGATAACAAAATATAATGTAAATGAAATTGGTACGCTATGATTACAAAATTGTAATTTGGAAGAGATTCATAATTATATTTCTTTATTTAACAAGAGGTATAATCTTAATAGATTTTCAAATTGAATGAATAAAAATTTGGAAGCTTTCTTTGACCATTATAATTTATTTGATTCCGAAAATGTTGAATACACGAAATTAAAATTAGTGGTTACTGTTAAATCTATATGTGCTAATATGAAACATAAATTTAACGAGCAATTTTTGGTTATTTTGGTGATTATAAACAAAAGATCATGTTGTGTTTGAATATTACATAAAATTTGCGGGTCTCAAGGCACTATTATTTATCTCTAGACTATCATTGCTATAATTATCTATTTTATCAAAGATTTTAGGTTAGAAAATATGAATTAATTAGGTTATAATTCACTAAAAAAGCCTTCATGCTCCATAGCCAAATTGATAATAATTATATAGTAATTAAGACTAATGAAGAAACTATGTTAAACTTAAGTAATTTTGACATTAATTCAATCCATTTGATTAATTGAATTTGCTATCTATATATATATGACTTCATATATTATGCCATATATTATTGTGGCGGTAAAACCCCTTCGATTTGTTTTTTTTTTTTTTCCTTTTGAATTTTAGTTAGAAAAAATATGTTACCTATTAGTCACGGCGGTGGAAAAGTCAAACTATGGTTTCGTTTGAGACAACTTTTTTATTACTTTTTAAAGCAACTTTCTATTAGAAAAATTAAGATTTTGTACTATGAAGCTGCTTAAAGAAGCAGAAAGAAAGCCGTCCCAAACGAAGCCTAAGTTGTTGCATTATCTTCCAAGTTATGTCGAGGCCCCCGGAAATGGACTTGTAAGAGAGCCAATGCTCCCATGAAGAGGTCTACAGTTAATAAGATCACTCCATTCTTATTGATGCTTATACTTTTTGCGATTCGCGCTTTCATCAGTTGATATACACAGTATATTATAATTCTCTTCTACTTTTTGCAAGTCGCTTTCCAAAGAAGCAAGATAATTGTAAAACAAAATACCAAAATATGCAGCAAAAGCAACTTGCAGGAATTCGTTGAGCTTGCCTTTGACGAGCTTGACCTAGAGTAGCACCATCCAAGATGTGCCCCTCTCGAAGAGGGGCTTAGATCCAGTAAGATTCAACAAATGCAAGCACTCACCCAAATGGAACTCATCCTAGAAGAGCTCAACCAAGGAGGGATAGGTTTGACTAAGGAATTCTCCTAAGCATACTTTGACTTGAGAAGTTACTTACCTCATAAGAACTCATCCAAAGGAAAGACTTGCATTAGCCAAGGAAACTAACCCCTCTTAGAGGAACAATTATTAGGTCAGGTGACCTGACGTAGCTCTACGTCCGGACGCCAATAATATGTCTCTACGTACTCTTACTCTTTACCGCGCGGCCCGACAACCCGACCCGGACCGGAACCCGGGTTTGCTATGTTCGTTTATTGCTCGGTATTTGCTCGATATTGCTAGGTATTACTCAGTATTGCTAGGTATTGCTTGGCAATAACGAGAAATACCGCTCTTGAAGACCAATACCAAGCAATACCGAGTAATACCTAGAAAAACTCGGTATTGCTCGGTATTGCTAGGTATTGGTCTACACAAAATGGTATTTTGTTATTGCCGAGCAAAATCGACCAATACCTAGCAATACTGAGCAATACGCAAACTCCCGGGTCCGTTCCAGGTCTGGTTGTCGGGCCGCGTGATAAATAGTGAGAACACGTGGCACTATTTTTCTGACGTCCGAACGTAGAGCTACGTTAGGTGACCGGACCAAATAAAAGTTCCTCTTAGAGGGCCTCTCACATCAATTACACCAATCCCCAATTCAATAGAACTTATTTAGGACTGCAGACTGTAGTCTAACCCTAAGTGCTCATCCACAGTGATGTTAGAGATGACTATCCACATATAACCAAGAGTTCTATTCAAACATCTATAAGAGTCAAATCATGTAATATTTATTATTTATTTAAGTGTAATATCTCTTATAATCCTCTCAACTCTATGAATAAAAGAGTCTCTTATAGTCCATTAAACATTCAATTCTATAAATAAGAGATTGAAAGATATTTTTAAACATAGCTCACATTGATATGATGGTTGAGAGCTTTGATTATAAAGTTGAATATGTGAGGTGTGTGTTTGTTTTAATTGGCTCAAAAGCAAAAAAAAAGACATTTTGAAAATTTTTTATATTTTTTTTTATTGTCATAAAGACTTGTAAATTCTAAAACGTTTCTCCTAACTCTCTCTCTCTCTCTCTCTCTCTCTCTCTCTCTCCTCTTAGCTAACTCACCAATAGGTCATGACGTCACCCACAAACAAAATCAGATCCAACACTTATAGATGGAAATAGAACTAATAATAGAACTTGCATAAGAAACTCTGTTGACATTAATTGCCTTCTTACTATTAGAATTATTAAAATTTGGGATATCCTTGAGGATGAACAAACACATATTTTCCTTAAGGGCCTGTTTGGCAATGAGATTTATACAATATTTGAGTAGGATTTAACATAAAATATTTTCAAATGGGATTTGAGAGTCCTCTAAATCTCACGTTAGTTGATTTTGGCCTAAATCAGGCCAAAATCCTGATGTACATCCATGATTGCTCACGCAGGTACTTTCTCGTAGGTATCTAACAAGTTGCATTCAGTTTGAGCATAGAGAGGACTCCTTTCTCTTTCAGAACAGTCCATTCTCATGACTGGCTCAACAATTGGGAAGAAGTTTATCATTGGAGCACGATATACCTCCTCTGGCCACTTCATCCAAGGAGTGGCCCTCCTCACCAGGGGCAACATCAAAAGTTTCTCTCAGTTGGACAAATCTTTATTCATCTTGACCAAAATCAAATCTCCCACGTGAGACCTACAAAAAATCCAGCTAAATACATGCATCTCTCTCATGATTGGATCATCACCGATAGCTGCAAATGAACCGAGTATTCGATAAGCTATTTGTGGCTCAGTCCGATTACAGCTTGTTCACGATTGTTTGTTTAATCAAATAAGTTTAAATAATTTTTGAAATACCCGTCTGTTAAATAAATAAACATAAACAATTATGTGATTGGCTCCTTTATGTTCATGAGTAATATCAATTAAAGCTCGTGAACAAGTTTGATAAGATGCTCCTTAAGACCTTGATTAAATATTTATTTTTTAAATAATTTTTATTTTTATTACAATAAAATATTCTTATTATATAAAAATTATTACATTTTTATGTTATACTTGGTATGTCATAAAAAAAGTATTGTGATCAGACACGAATCTCGAGGCAAAAATCAAGTTGGAAACTTCAAAATACTCTTATTAGACACGAATCTCGAGGCTAAACTTTATATTTCTCCACCGCTGTGAATACTCCAGGACACAATAATACTATTTAAATATAATGAATTTTTTTCATAAGCAATAGGTATTTATTCATGTTTGCAGTATTTTTATTTAAAGTGTTTATAAACAAGCTAGTTTATAAAAAATTATTTTATGAGCTTGTTTGTTAATGGACGCGCTTGTTTAGTAGATCGAAAATACTCCATATATATATGTTTGAGAACATGCTCTTAGTGATTGTTTATTAGTAGGCTTGATAAGACTTGTTTGTTTAAAATTCGATAAGCATAAATGAACTGAACACGAATCAAACATAATCCAAACATAAACGTCTACTCTTTTAAACGAACCAAGCTAAAACACAAACAAAAAAACTTGAATCAAATACGAACCAAGCTTGAACAAGTTAATAATAAACAAGCTCAAGCATGATCAAGCACATACTCGATTCAACTTGGTTCATTTGCAACCCTAATCACCGAGCTCAAAGATCAATGTAAAATCATCACTCGCCCCCTCTTGCTTTAATGAGGTGACCTCAGACTGCCTTCCTACCTCACGCCGACTCAATCTCCAGATGCTCCCGAGTACATTTCACTTGCATTAGCTCCTACAAGATCGATGCACCACTTGCATAGCTGGCCGAGTTACATCAAAGATTGATTGTACAACTATTGTTTAAATAGTTTTCATAAGATTTAATAGTATTTAACAATTATCTTATCAAATAGTTTTCATGATTTAACATATTCAGAATTAACTAAATCCGATCCGAATTTTTAGGATTTACTAAGTACTACTAGAATTAAACGCTACTTGTTGCCCAAACAGCCCCTAAATGTAAAGGAATATGCTTGAAATTTTAGATTGTATTAGAATTTGGCGAAATATATTTACAACCAAACTGTTTGGGGCCTGGGCCTGGGCCTGGGCCTGGGGGCATCATCAAAGTCATAAGTTACGGTGATTGAGTAACCCTGTTATAATTAATATTAATAATTGCGGCTGTAAAAAATACATTCTATATTGCATATATATATATATATATATATATATAAAATACACTCCTGGTATTTCTTCAAACACCTGCGCCGCGTAGGTATGGTCGTCACTGCTAAATCCCAGCAGATATCGATCTATCGGAAATCTTCGCAATCGCTACGCAACCGTCGCCGGGGAGTAACGCAGCCGGCAGCATGATTGTAGGCTGGCCTGGTCCTCAAATAGAGCAGGACAGCAAACGCTAGGCCGATCATCGAAATGACTCCCCAAGCAAAAAAGGTCTTGGAGTAGCAGCGTCGGCCCATACAAACCACCATAGCTGCCACGGCCTCTCTCATGTGCCAGCTTCCCAGTACTCTTCCGTTGGCATCATAGACGAGAGCGGCGAGTAGGCCATAGAGCTGCGAACCAAATGGAATGTTGGTGATGACGATGTTGTGGTTCACTCCAAAGCTCGCCGGCCCGAACAGCTCCGATGTCACCGACACCGCCCCCGCAAAAACGAACCCTGAGCTCAGCCCCACAAGAGCAGTCCCCGCAAATAGAATATGTCCGTTCTCCGCCTCCGCATCCGCCGCCAGCAGGAAGAACGCTAGCGGCATCGGCACCAGCGCCGCAGCGAGCCAACCAGTTCTCGCAAAACTGACCCGCCTGCCGTCAAGCTGTTTTTGTTAAATATATTCCCTGCGAAATGTTTGCTATCGAATTAAATCAATCATTATTATAAGATATATGATGCGAACCCGCCCAGAAGCATGTCGGGGGCGGCAGAGATGAGGCGGCCGAAGAAGGAGCAGGAGGAGTAGACGTTGACGAGCATGGAGGTGTGTGACTGCCATCCCAGCGACTGCGCGATCTGGCCGAGGTTGTTGCTGTAGACCAGACCGAGGGTGCCGCCGCATAAGTAGGAGATGTAATAGATATAGAAATCGAGACGGCGGATGAGACTCCTGGCACCGTGCTCCTCCCCGAGCAAAACAAGCCGATCCTTTGACATCAACGCATTGCAGCAGCAGAGAGATCCTCGCTCGTTGATGTCCAGGAACTGGTTTTCCAGTTCCCCGTCGCCAGGGATCAGTTCCTTAATTAGTATGTCGTGGTACTCTTCTGAGTCCTCCAACTGGCTGGAATAGATGGTGCGGAGAGCCCATTCTCTGGCGACGACGATGCCGGGAATGGCGAGTGGGAGGGCGAGGAGGATGAGAGCGCCGGCCAGGAGGAGGCGTGAGGTGGCAGGGTTGGGGGCGGCCGGGTTGAGGAGGAGGATATAGAGGCCGGTGAGAAATGCGATGGAATTTAGGAGGAGGAAGATGTGGGTGTCACGGCGGCGGGAAGAAGAGGAGAGGGGCGGCTGGCGGAGGATAGGAATGAGGGCGGTGAGGGAGGTAAGGACGGGGAGGACGGCGTTGAGGAGGAGGTAGGAAGAAGGAGAACCGTTGATGGCTTTGGCGACGAGGGTGTAAAGGGCGGCGCTGACGCCGTTAAAGCTAACGGTGAGGGAGAGGGCTAGGCAGCGGTTGGTGGAGAAATTTCGGATGCAGAGAACGAAGCAGACGGTGTTGAACCAGCATATGCTCAACCCCGCCAACAAGCACAACATAAATACCTGCATATTATACATATATAATCTGCTAATTACTTTTCCTTTAGGATTATTTAAGACAATTAAAAAACGGGTTAAAAATGTACATAAGTTTTTTTAAAAACATCAAGAATAATTTAAACTAATTTTAGGATAAATTAATCTTTTTAAATAACTATCAGAGTGATTGTTTTTTTTATAAAATGATTATTATATTAATAAATTGATCTCTCTAATTAATTAAAGCTCTAATATTAATTTAAAATATCAACTTATATAAGACTTTAATAATGAAAGTTATTACCTTAATTTTATCTATTAAATAGTTGAGGTTAAATTAAAAAAAAAAAAAGAGTTGGAATTTAAATTATAAAATTTCCAATCGTAATTTATACTAGTATTTGTATCGAGACGAGTTGAAATATGGCTTAACTTTGACTTTAAACAATGTAGACCCACACCACAAGCCCAAATTGTAGAGTGGTTGAAGAGCAAAGCAAGCTGGGCGTAGTTTCTTCTTAAGAGAAGGAAGAAGGAAGATGGATGATGAATTGAAAAAATGAGAGGCAGCCACCTCAACATCTTGGCGTCCTGTCCACCAACCAAAAATACATAGAAGCCATCTGCTTCTCTTACCGACCAAACCTCTCACTTCGAACTGCTTGGCGCCGTTTCAACCATATAAATAGAATTCCACACGGAATCACGAAAATGACCTCTATCGTTGCCGCACCGGCCGGCAATCTTTGGATCCGCCTCAAGACTGCAAACATTTACTAATCCTTCCAAGAAAAAAAAATATAACAATACCTAAAATCCTATTAGGGATTCTTTCATTTTTCTTAAAGATAATGCATCCACCGCAATCATTTCATAACATCTAATCTAATCAGAAAGGAAAATAAAAAAGAATAAACAAAATTAGGATGGAAAACTCCGCTGCTTACCGGGGCGTAGGGCAAAGCGATCCGGGAGGTGATGAGAAGCCACTGCACGCCATAGGCGACGAAGCCGAGAGCAGCGGCCAGGAAAAGGACGGCTGGAAGGGGAAGGTATAGGAGTGCAAGGCCGGACGACCATCCGAAGGCCTTTCCGAGGTCGGAGGCCACGGCTAGATAATTAAGCTGGACCTGCGATATCCCCATCGCCGCCTTCAGCTCCGACGAGTAGGAAGAGAAGTCGAAGTTGGTGCCGGTGAAAGCCTGGATCCACACCGTCGCCAACAGTATCATCCATCGCCGCGATTGTCCGGCCATGGATTCGGATCAAATCCCTACTCTGCTCTTTCCTTTTGCACACTGTTCCTTTCCGCGATTTCTTGCAACTCTGCAAGTGAAAGCCCCGCGCACTACCACGGCTTTAAAGTCGAGCAGCGTGTTTGACCGTAGCATGACTAATTGTTGGAAATGGTCCAACAAAGTGGGCCTAAGTTTGAATGTGCACATTGATAACATTTGGCCCAAAAAGCCCGGCCTGCTCATTTCATCTTGAATAGTTTACACTATCAGCCTTAAACCGTTATGTCCAATCCCATAAGGATTATATTTTTTCGTGATATATTTTTAAATATCGATTAGTCGTATTATATTTATTGGGAAGGAAAATTTGACAAAACGGGGAATGTGAAGTAGAGTTGTAGAGCCCTTTTGCTTGACTTCAATGCGGAAAACCTCTTTCCTCCGATCAAGCACAGACGAAACCGGATAACCTGCAAGAAAACAAAGAGAATAGAGAAAACAGGGGAAGCAAAGAGAGAAGAGGGAAGAAGAAGAAGTTTAGAGGTAGGTGGAGAAGTTTTCAGATATCAGTATATTCATCTCTATCTCTTTTCCATCTCTTCTACACTGCATATATTAAGGAAATAACTAATAAAATGAAAATGCTGAGCTGGCTGGCCACTAGCTGGCGCATGGCAGAAAGCACAAAATATGCGGAATTACTAAAACAACGAAAGCAGAGGTCGTAGGTAGTTATACGGCATGATGGTCCGTTGAGCTGTCACGCGGAACCATGATACACCACATCATGTCTCCCCATCTGCCGGAGATTCCTCGCCTAAGGAATTAGATTGAACGACCGCCGCATCAGGAGCTTTATAAGCAAAGATATCATATACATTAAAAGTAGAAGGTGTGAGGTACATCGGCGGAAGATCCACGATATATGCGTTGTTGTTGATGCGCCGGAGAATTGGGACTGGTCCAATCTTCTTTGGACTGAGCTTGGAATATGTTCCAGGGGGAAACCTTTCTTTGCGGAGGCAAACCATGACAAGATCGCCGGGATGGAAAATTTGCTCTCTCCGATGAAGATCGACTTGTTGCTTGTACTGCTCATTAGCTGTTTCAAGTTTATCCCTAACATCTTGTAGCAGCTTGGTATAGATCTCAGCAGTATTGGCGTCAGTTTTGCGCTTGCACTGCGAAAGGATTGCGATATCTACCACATGGTTTGGGCATTTAGTATAGACAATGCTGAATGGGCATTGTCCAGTGGATCAGTTGGACATTGCATTGTACGCAAATTCCGCCTGTCCGAGGTAATCATCCCACTGTTTAGGGTGTTCATAAGCAAGGCAACGCAGCATGTTACCCAGGGTTCGGTTCACGACCTCTGTCTGCCCATCGGTCTGCGGATGATATGCAGAACTCAGTTTGATTTCAGTCCGCAGTCGCTTCCAGAGTTCCCGCCAAAAATGGCTGACAAATTTTACATAGCCCTTGCTTACAGACGAAACCAGCCACCCACACCCTTTCCTGCCTATGCAGCTTCCTGCCTGACAGCTCAGATCATATGTAATGCTGCGGGGAAGGCCGTGCAATCAGACAATTTCCTTAAAGAAGAGGATGGTGACGTTGAGAGCATCAAAAGTTTTCTTATATGCCAGAAAATGTGCCATCTTCGAGAATCGGTCGACGACGACCATGATTGAGTCTGCACCGTGCTTCGTCCGCGGTAAACCCAATACGAAATCCATGCTTAAATCCTCCCATATTGAGTTCGGCACTGGCAAGGGCGTGTAAAAACTCGTATTCTGAGCATTTCCCTTATAGATTTGGCAGATTGGGCACCGCTCGACAAAACGAGTGACATCCCGATGCAGGTGAGGCCAATAGAACCGACTCTGTAGCTGTTCCAATGTCTTGGCTTTGCCCAAGTGTGCTGCTAGCCCACCGCTATGCAGCTCTTTGATTAGATGCTCTCGCCGGGAAGAAGCAGGCACGCACAAGGCGTGGCCTTTAAATAGAAAATTGTGCCGAATAGAGTAATCATGGAAGGGCGTTGGCAAGGCGCTGGAAAAGTTCCTCCAAGGTTCAGAGAAATCATGATCCGTTGAGTACAAGTCTTGTAATGTCTCCAATCCCGGAGTGTCAACTTGCAGCTTGGTCACCAAAATGGTGCGGCGGCTAAGAGCATCTGCCACATGATTTTTTGCTCCGGATTTGTGCTTCAGTACAAAGCTGAATCTTTGTAAAAATGTCAACCACCTCGCGTGCATCTTGTTCATAGTCTTTTGACTGTTAATGAATTGAAGGGCATGGTTGTCGCTGCTCAAGACGAAATCTTGGTGTAGGAGGTAGTGCTCCAACTGCTTCAATGCGCAAACAACAACATACAATTCCTGCTCGTAAGTGGACCATTTTTGACGTGCAGGGCTCAACTTTTCACTGAAAAACTCGATCGGCCACTCCTCCTGTGAAAGGACTGCGCCCACTCCTACGGCCGAAGCATCCGTATCAATGTGAAATGGCTTGTTGAAGTCTGGAATTGCCAATACGGGGGCGGATGTCAAAGGGTGCACGGACTGAGACTTGGTTGAATAAGCTATTTCTGAAGCAGCTCGTCGATGATGTTCTGTAATGCGGTATGCTCACGGGGACTCATTTTATAATGAGGCAGATTCGGAAAATTAGCCCCGAGCTGTAAATCAATCTGGTGCTGCAAATTCCTCAAAGGGGGAAGTTTATTCGGCAGTTCTGCTGGCCAAACGTCCTAATACTGATTCAGGATATCACTGATAGCAGTGGGTAACTCCGGCCGCTGACTAACGGAGTTAGCTGATGCCACAACAAGAGCCCACATTAGGGACGATTCTTTCTAGGAGTTGATAATGGTTTGGCCATATACAATGTACATTGCAGAACTCTCAGGGGTTCCTTTGTCACCATCACTGGCGGAGCGCGGGAGTAGCCGAATTTTGCGCTGTTTCCACTCGAAGGAGTAAGTTTTTGCGCGCCCATCATGTACATCTCCCACATCGAATTGCCATGGTCGTCCGAGTATCAAGTGACAGATATCCATGTCTAGGACATCGCACAGGACCTCACACACAACTCTTCCCAATTGAGAATGTTACTCGGCACATTTCAGACACAACAATCTCTACTCCCTTTTTCACCCAGCTTATCTTATAAGGATTTGGATTGCGTGTCATTTTAAGATGCAATTTCTGTACTACCGACCGAGAGATGATGTTCTCGGTACAGCCATTGTCGACCAAAACGTTGCAAACATTCCCACTGCTTGTACAACGGGTACGAAATATGGAATGTCGTTCGGAGTTGTTGGTTTGGCGGGGTGCTATTAGGAGCTTCTGCAGGACACATGCTACGGGTTCCCCATCATCTGCTTGAAGATCTTCGAATTCTTGTTCGTTCACGAGCTCGGCATTATGATGATCGTCCTCGGCCTCCCCTTCAAGCAATTGAATCTGCTGCCAGTTGGGACAATCGTTGGACTTATGTCCAGGTTCGAAGCAGCGGTAGCACTTGAGCGTGGTTGGTTTTACATACTGGTTAGCATCCCGAGCTGGAAATCTCGGTCGCGCAGCAACTGAAGGTCTCGGTTCGGCGCCCAGTATACTTGCACCGCCAGGGGAAGGAGTTGTTGGCTTGTTTCCACTCAAACTGTGCGGTTTATTTACCTCTCCACTATGCTCTGCATTGTGACGGCGGGTGCCGCTGCTTTTAGTATGTCTGTTAAGTTGAATTTCAGCTTTCAGGGCATAATTCACTGATTGCGACAGTGTCCATACAGAATTCATCTCAAGCTTATCCTGGATGGCTTCTCAGAGACCTCCTATGTAACACGCCACTAATTGAGCCTCGGATTCGCTCAGATTATTTCGACCGCTCAGCCTGTAAAACTCCTCAGTGTACTCGCTCATGGTCCTATTACCTTGCAAGCAGTGTTGGTATTGAAGATAGAGCATTTGCTCAAAGTCGGTAGGTAGGAAATGTCCTCTAAACAATCTCTTCATTCGGTATCAACTAGTGACATTCCCCTTGCCTTCTCGCCTTCGAGCTTGTAGAAGTTGCATCCACCATGCTCCAGCTCCCCTCTTCAGTCGACAGGCCACATACTTGACCTATTTTTCGGGTGCAATCTCCATATAGTCGAAGAAGGCTTCAACGGCTCGCTCCCAATCCAGGTAATCTTCAATGTGCAGGCGTCCGTTAAAGAAAGGAATGTCCAACTTGATACGGAATTCGCCTTGTTGACGCTGTGGAGCTAGGTGCCTGCGGGGTTGCTCATAATAATTGGCTCTATCCTCTTCCGCTGAATCAGATGCTTCCAACGGTTGCTGCCATTCGGCGTCGTCATCTGAGTCCGAGATCGCCGAAATGGTTGTGTGGAGTCGACGACCCAAGTGAGGACGCAGTGCCGGTGTTATTGCCGGCGGAACTGGTCTGCCAACCGTCTGTTGTGTTCGATTCGTCCTAAGGGATCGAATCTCGGTCTTCATCTCCGCAGAGAATCAGAAGAACTCCGTGGTAAGTGTTTCCAGCCGGCGAACAATGTCTGCTTGCGTCACCCACATTACATCCAAGCTACGATCCTCCTCGACCGCCGGACATTTGCTTCCTTCTGCCATTAAGCTCGATACCGAGCTCTGATACCAAATGGTGTGGAAACCGGATAACTTGCAAGAAAACAAAGAGAATAGAGAAAACAGGGGAAGCAAAGAGGGAAGAGGGAAGAAGAAGAAGTTTAGAGGTAGGTGGAGAAGTTTTCAGATATCAGTATATTCATCTCTACCTCTTTTCCATCTCTTCTACACTACATATATTAAGGAAATAACTAATAAAATGAAAATGCTGAGCTGGTTGGCCACTAGCTGGCGCCTGGCAGAAAGCAGAAAATATGCGGAATTACTAAAGCAGCGAAAGTGGAGGTTGTATGTAGTTATACGGCATGATGGTCCGTTGAGCTGTCACGCGGAACCATGATACACCACATCATTCTCGGTTGAGCACAAACTTCTCCTTCTCCTTGTCCTTCGTTCAAACTCGAGCGAACTAATTCCCAGCCTTCGACTTCACAGCATGTGAGCGAATCAAGTTATTCGCATGCATTCATCTGCCCAAGCGTCGCGCTCGTGCCATCTTGCTCACTTGATTCCACTCTCGTGCTTCGCTTCAGTTGCTTCGCGTGTTTCGGCCATCCCGCCTTGCTGGTTCGCTCGTTGATCGCAACTCGCTAGGGTTCAACTTGATAGAGTTCCTAAAGAATTCTTGAAAGACCAACAGAAAGATAGAGGAAGACGAGAGAAGCAGAGGAAAGTGAAATAATAGAAATGAATCTTATTAATGAAATAACAGGTGAACTCAATATATATAGAGTTCTGTACAGAAAAGGCCTAGAAGGTACATGATGTGTCAGGTTCTTTAACACAACTGACCCAGTTATGCTGAAATGGTTGGTACAGGGGGATGTAACAGATGTTATTAGAAATCAACATCTATCTGAAACTTCAAAAGCTTCTTCAAATATAATGATATAGTTTTAACATATAAATTGAATGAAAATAAACTCATCGTCATCATCTAAAGCATACTCCTTTTCTACAAGCAACCAAACAGAACCTTGTATGGAAAAGAAAAAATGGTACGTCTGGAATAGCAGAAAAGGCGTCCAAGCTAGGAAGCTAATGACGGTACGTCTGGAAGCCTCTCTTTGGATGCACGACCATCAATTTTGGATTCAGATGACAATATTTTTAATGCATGCCCTAAACATTCGAAAGTCCTCCGGAGCCTGAGCTTTTCTATTTTTTCTAGGAGTATAATCGGTTGAAAAAATGCACCCATGAGGATAGAGCATCCATCTCAGGACAAATTAGAGTCCTCTATTGCTTGAGGACCTTTGCAATGCTTGCGGCCAAGGAATTTTGAAGGTCAACAGCGCACTGTCTTTAACGAATAAATGTCAAAATTCCATAAGCCACCCGGTGGGATGACTCGTCATCAGACAATTATAAATCTAAATCCGAGATCTCACAAGTAAGGTCAGAGCTATCATGTTTGTCAACTGATGACCTCATATCTAATGCCAACCGATCAAGCATCGCGTGTATTTGGTCACCTTCAGGGTGATTTTTATCTCTTGACATGAATCTGTGAGATGCATCCCGCACCTCAATCCAACTGGAACCAGGCTCCTTTATCAACCCCTTTCCTTTCATTTCCTGCCTTACTCGGTGAACACCATCCCATCTCCCCTCCGCAGCATACACATTTGACATTAGAACATGGTAACCTGCGATACCATTTTGATTTTCATTTTCCATGTCAAATAACCTCCTTGAGACCAATTTCCCCAACTCGTACTTACCATGAAGCTTACAGGCTGCAAGCAAGGAACCCCAAATGCCAACGTGATTTCCACTATCACCAAGATCCCTCACAAACTCATATGCTTTCTCTACCCTCCCGGCTCTACCTAACAAGTCCACAACACAGCAGTAATGCTCAGTTGTAGCCACAACCCCATACTCTTCCATCGATTCAAAAACAGCCAGGCCCTCATCGATTAGGCCACTGTAACTACAAGCTGATATGAGCGCCACGAAAGTTAGTGCATCAGGCTTTATGTCCAAAGACTGCATGTTCTTGAAAAGCGAAAGAGCTCTCTCACCAAGCCCATGCTGGCCAAAGCCTGAAAGCATTGTAGTATAGGTGACTCTGTTCTTTTCCTTCATGAAATTGAACACTCTGTCAGCGAAGGTAATCCCGCCGCACTTTGAATACATGTCTGCAAGGGCCGTGCCTACGAAGACGTTATTATCCAGGTGTTGGCGGATGGCAAACCCATGAATCTGTTTGCCAGCTTGGATTCCTTCAATAGGGTCACAAGAAGGGAGGATTAATGAGATGGTTACATGGTTAGGCAAGCAGTTTCCACCCAGCATTTTGCAGAACAAAGAAACAGCCCTGTCAAGATTTTTATTGTGCATATACCCAGCAATCATAGCATTCCATGTGACCTGATCTCTCTCATCACATTCATCCCCTTCAAAGATGCGTCCAGCTGTCTCAACGCAACCAGATTTTGCATACATGTCGATGAGATAACTAAGCATCCCTTCAAACGCAATTCCATGGCGGATGAGATAGCCATGTGTTTCCTTTCCCACATTGAGGCTGCCCAGATTAGATGCTGCTGAAAGCAACGCGGTAACTGTGACTGAATCAGCTGCCAGGCCTGCCTTGTGCATCTCATATACAAGCCGCAGACCTTCAAAGTTCCGGCCTTTCTGCACAAAGGCAGAAACCATGGTGTTCCAACTCACAATATCTCTCTCTGACATGAGGCAGAAAACGTCTAAAGCAGATATGACATCATCACATCTCGAATACATGACCATGAGAGCATTGTTGAGGATCAAAGAAAGCGGCTTTGTTGTATTCTCTTTGATCAGGTACGCATGAACCTGTTGTCCTAACCCATTCTCCTGCAACCCTGAAATTGCCATCAGGGAGGCCAGGAAAGTCACATCATCCGCAACAACCTCAACAGATTCCAAAACTTGCAAAAAAAGTGCAAGAGCTTCTTGGTAGCAAGCATTCTGAACATAACACCCAATCATGGTATTCCATACTTGGATGTTCTTCTCAGCGGCGCAGTCAAAGATCCGCCTGGCAGATTGGACATCCGATCGCTCAGAATACATGAATATGGCAGAACTCACGACGAAGACATTTGCAACGTACTCGCTCCCAAATTTGATAAGCATACCGTAGAGCAAGTCGGGCCAGTAGTTGAATCCCTCCATGGAACCAATTGAGGCAGCAGCAGGGAAGACGTTCACAAAGCTGACAGGGGAGGGCCTAATTCCTGTCTCAATCATGCGCCGAAACTGTTCCAGCGCGACGGCCGGTCGGCGGGACCTTACGTACCACCCAATCAGCGTGTTCCAAGACACCACGTTTCTCTTGGGCATTCTGTCGAACAGCAAGCGGACGGCATCCACGACAAATACGTGGTGGGGATCGAGCGCTGACGCGTACATGTTGAGGAGAGAGTTGTTGAGAACGCGGTTGGTGGGGCGTGTCGGAGAACGGCGCAGGATGCGGCAGTGGATAGACTGGCCGAGGCGGAGGCGGCGTGAGTCGGCGCACGCCTTTAGGACGGACGAGTAGGTGTAGTGGTCGGAGCACGCCTTGGAAGTGGAATTCATAAGGTGGTAGAGTCGGAGGGCATCGTCTGGCATGGAATTGCAAACATAGCCAATGAGGAGGGCATTCCAAAGAATGGTCGGGATGGGCCTGGGGAGAGCGTCGAAAAGGCGGCGGGCGAATTCGGTCCGGCCTTCCTTGCATAGCTGGCTAAGACGGGAGCGAACGGCGACGGAGCGGCTGGGGTTCTCTAAATTGGTGTCGAGGGGAAGGGAAATCACAGCAGGCGGTGGAGTGGAAGATGGCGGCGAGGAAGGATTAAGGGGCGGGAAGCAAAAGGAGAAAGGCAGCTTGGAGCTGGAGCGCGGGAGCAGAGGCAGAGACAATTGGAAGGCTGAAACGGAGTATTGAGACATAGCTGAGGAGGCACACAATGGCAACATTGCCTGCCCGGCTACCTGCGGCATCATCTCGCGCTCTCCTTCTCCTAATTCTTCATTTATTTTTCTTTAGTCCAAAATGTCCAGAGCGGGAGCAACCAAGGCAACGCAAGAGAGGATTTGATGGATATGACCCAAATAAATAAATTATATCATTTTAATAGAGTTCAAACACATAGTCAGATGCAGAATCAAAGAAATGAATTTGATCATTGTTTGAACATAGCTTAAGCATGTATTGGAATCATGTTCGAATAAATGTTCAAATTAAACTAGATTTGATTGCTTGTACAAATAAGATTCGAATCTCCTTTGAATACACGACCCTTTGAACCATATAATTATAGTTTAACCAATTATTTTTTAAAAATGAATCAAATATTAATATTCTTGTGCTATATGAAAGAGAATAGAAAAAAAAAAAAAACTGACAAAGTCTATCAAATGTACAAAACTTATTAAATAAAAAAATGAAGGAACAAATTGAACTTATATGTGTATATATAAGTATAAATGAGTCGAGTCGAACTCGAGTCAACTCTAGCTTGAGCTTGATTAATTAATTGATTTTGAGTTCGAGCTCGAGCTTTATTTTATGTGTTCTTGTCTGCACACAAGTTGACTCATTTATTATGAAAGTGATAAATTAAATAAGACTCAAAAACTATTCTAATAAAATGATAAAAAAAAATGAGACATTAAAAGAAAAATAATAAAGAATCACTTATCATAAGAAAGTCATATACATATTTTAAATATTTTTAACAATTTTTTATTTAAAATCTTGAATGCTAATATATTTTAAGTACATTTTATATTAATGTTTTTTAATCGAGTTGGCTCATAAGCTAAAGAGTCAAGTTAGCTCCGCTTACACTGACTACATACTCCGACGCCGACTGGGCTAGTGATCCTACAACGAGAAAATCAACAACCGATCATTGTACTTTCCTTGGGGAGACACTCATTTCGTGGGTGGTCAAGAAACAAACCACCGTTGCTAGATCCTCAACGGAATCCGAGTATCGTGCGCTCGCAGCGGCCACGGCGGACATTATTTGGCTGAAACGCCTGCTAAACGACTTCTCCATTCCTCATTCTAAGCCCATTGATCTGTTCTGCGACAACATGTCGGCCATCGCTCTTGCTCATAATCCAGTGTTCCACGCACGGACGAAGCATATCGAGATCGATCACCGCTTCCTTCGCGATCACATTCAGAATCAGGCACTTCGTCTTCTTCCCATCAGTACGACGTATCAGCTAGCAGATATATTAACCAAGCCTCTCTCCACTCCCCGATTCAAGGAACTTCGATCCAAACTGACTGTTCAAGACGAACAATCCGTTTGACAGGAGATATTAGAGCAGTTAATTACATATTCTATTTGCTAATCAATGTAATTATACAGCTGGTTAAGTCTAGTCCATAGCATATGACACGTGTACCTAGTTACTTACTTTATGCATCTATATATTCATACCTGTAGCTACGATTCAGAGATAATAATAATAATCCATTTTCTGTCTTTCACTGTTCATCCTCCTTCTCTCCGATGAAGCCCACGGTGAAAAATCTTGATTCTTAGTTTCTACAAACTTTCCTACATTTACAAAATTTGTTATGTGAGAGCACCACGACAGTAGGGTTTGCAATGCCCCCGCTTTGAGCTCTTGAATTTTTGGAGAAAAAATGGGTAACTAAAGGCGTGCGATGCCGAGTGGCTTTATTATGGATCCGAGTCTCAGGTGGAGAATCTAGAAGATTCTCTAGGAGCATAACAAGGCCTTGGGGAGTTAAGTGTCATGATGCTAGGTCAGAATAGAGGTTTTAAATATTAAAATATCTCAATCCATCTTTCTTAACTCACCACCTTAGCCATCCCTTGCTTAATTGCTGCCTTACCAGAAAAGAAAGAGGGGAAGAGGTAGGAAGGAGGATAAAGAGGAGAGACAAAGCTCATTTAGGGCCATTTTTGTCCATCATGGTAGATAACCCGAATTCCATTTTTATTTTATTTATTTTATCTCCTAAACTTCATTAAAATGCAATATCTCTAGTTCTAATAAATTTCTACCATATATATTTTTAACATGTGATGAATATCATCATCCTGAATATTCAGGATATTTTAACTAGTTTAAATTAACATTTCACTCGATGGCTTTGCATATATACATCATTTTAATTGAAATGTATAATAATATTAATTATAAAACACTGCATTTAAACGTGGAATATATGACATGCATATATTTACTGTTCATTTAGTTCAACGTTCATTTCTACAGGCATATGATGAGTACAATGAAAGTTGCACTGTGTATATGCTAATTGTCATTATGCTTTATACACGATCGCATCAATTAAACTAGTTAGTACGATCAGATTTTCAAACATCGATTGAATGTACTCCCACCAGCATGCAACCATAATTTTTTTGCAAAATGTTTCATACCCAAAGCATCATCACTGGGGCAAATGCTTGCCCTTACTGAATCTTGATAGAGCAAATCTCCCTCTGAATGGAATGCATATATGATATACCCTCTAGATGAAGCTCCTACAAGACAAGCTTGGCTGACTCCTACGAGTTGCATATACCTGCATGCTAGCTTCCATTCAATTGGTCAAAATATTGTCTTAAACATGCAGATCAAGCAACCCTTACCACTGAAGAGCCACCACATCTTTCATTCCATTATATCTTAGAAACAAGAGAATATACATACAGCATAAAAATCGGAAGTAACAACGAGATGAAGAAACTTAATCAGCAAACATGAAATGTTTAGGGACTCGATGACAACAAACGTTAACCATCCCGATGTGAATGTCCAGGAAATAAAAAAGAAAGCTTCAATAATCACAAGACTCGCAAATAAGAGTAATAGCTCCGGAAAAAAAGTTTGCCTTAGTTCGTGGGTTGGACCATCTCCTCCACCGTCATGACTAGCATTTTTCTTGACTGAAAAAACTGAGCCCGAACAAACATATCAAAATACATAGATGAAATCCAGCTGCTAGTCAAAAGTTCCACTACCCTAGTAAAATAAAAAAGTAATTTAAAAAAAAAAAAAACTTTGTTAACCATGAAACAAATCAGATCAAGATGTCGATAGTGGGATTGGCCTCACTGCACTTTGAATGCGTCGAAATGCTGTCTTCACTCTGTCCTTGAGAGCCTCATTCTCGCATTCAACTTCACCATTCTTCACATTCAAACGAGCAACATCACTATCAACCGTGACGATCAGCTTCCCTTCCTCCCCAACCTTCACATCACCAAAAAGGGATACCAGCAAAGCAAATGTCACCTTCTGTGCCATCCTTTCGTTCTCCTCCTCAGTCTTGTTCTCCACCACAGGCATTACTTTCGGGCCTTCCCTATTTATGTTCAAGATTAAGGCCACAACAGAATCTGAGACCATATCACTGATCGGATCAGAAGACCACTGCATACTCACAAAGCTCTCCGACTCATGTCTTATGGTCACCCTCTCATGAACGATAAGGGTTGGGACATCCGTCTCCTCTTGTGGGGACACCACACTTTCATATATCTGATTTAATCTGTGTTTTATAACTCCAAATGCACCATTATAAGGGACAGATATCCTTTGTGTGATGTTTGCAGTAGATAGCTGAGAGAAAATATGTAGGTCTTCTGACGCCATAATCTGGTATGTGAAGCCTTTCTTAACCAGCAGTCCACTGATAGTATCGCCAACTTCTGGCATCCTTTCAGCTAACCTTCCTATTGTCTTGGCCATTTTCTCAGAGCTGAAGTACATCTCAACGGACTGGCAATTCTTTGGGGAGATTATCTTTGTATTTTGATCAGCAAATAGAGTAATAAGCTTCTGCTTAAGCCTGGCCATCTCATTGGCTTCTCCATGAACAAGAACTATATTGGGAGGCATAAGTTCCTTCAAGAAGGTACTTGTCTGTGCAAAATCTGCATGAGCCGAGAAGGAGATGTAGTATACCTGCATATTTAGAGGAGCCGTGAGGCCATTAATTAAGGTCACCTCTTTTGGCTCATTGATTATGGTCTTTGCCAGTGTTCCTTCCACAACATAACCAGGAATCACACATGCATTTTTCTTATCTGTGCACCACCTGTCAAAAAGCTGTCTAGAGAGACCACTCTGAAGACCACTCGGGCTTGCCATCACCACTGATGGACCCACATCGTCAAAGTTTTCTATACTCTTCAAAGGAGAGATGTGCTTGAAATCAAAGGGGTTTGAGTTGGCAAATTGATTCCGTATCCTCTCATTCATTGCATTAATGTACGTCTGGTAAACAGCCATGCACCTCTTAGCCAGAGGGGAGGCATAATAGATGGGGATGTTGTGGAGCTCAGGATGGTTGGACCAGTACTCATCCAAGATGAGGAGGAGCTCCTGGGCTCTCCCAAGGGCGAATGCTGGAATAAGCACTCGTCCTCCTTGAGAGATGGTTGAATGGATCACATCCGTGAAGCGTTTCTCTCGGATAACACGTGGCTGGTGGAGCTGCACACCGTAGGTGGATTCAATGATACATATATCAGGAGAGAATTGTGGGGTTTCAGCAGCACGAAGATGACGGTCTTCTTCCCGAGAATAATCACCAGTATAAAGAACTCGGACGCCAGCAATGTCTACCATGAACATGGCAGCTCCAAGGACATGGCCAGCGGTGTAGCACCAGAAACGAATTCCATTCACTTCCACCGTCTGGTGGAAATCAATAACCTGAAACTTGTCTAATCCACTCAAACCTCTGATAGATACAAGTGATAGCACTCATTAATATAACTGCAGAACATTATATATATAACCAACAAAATCTTCCAAAAATAAAAAAACGTGGTGCATAAAGCCAGTTTGGCCGTGTTACAATCCAGAATTAACTTGGTAACATCAGAATTCTACTGTTGCAAGGATATGAGCTTCCAACATTGCGTAGGGGAATAGTAATTCTTCTCTAAAAACTACTTTTTCTTTTGACCATATGCAAGGATAAGCTTTTAAAGGTTCAAGGTAAAAAAAAAACTGGAAAAGATGACATGACACACTTAGGCACTACCCATGTGGCATGGTAAAGCAGAAGAAGAAAAAGTGAC